GGAGAGTGTAGTTTCTAGTTTGGAAGAGGCCGTTGCAGATGCCATTGAAGAGGAGGAGTCAAATGAAGATTCGGAGATAACAAGGCATCGGAGTTGTGCAAATCGAAGACTCTCACTATCATGGACCATGATGAATGCTTGGCAAGTCCATGTTTCGAACAAAGCAAGGGCAAAACCCAAAGCCAAAGTTCGGAAGTCCTCTCCCTCGCAAGCCCGAGGACCCAGACAGGGAGTCCCAAATAGACTCTATGGACATCAATAGACTCTTGAGTATCTGGAAAAGAGGGTTGAATATCAAGTTCCTTCTGATTGAGTTGTGTTGTGAAAGAAATAGTATCTTGGGTAGTACCTTTGAGAAGCTTGGCGGGTCCTTCCAGGTTTGGAGCCAGACCCAGATCTCACTCGTGAACACACATGTGCCAGCACCATTGCCAGCCTTGGACACTTTGGCCATGATTCCTATGCACCAAAGGCCCAAAGTGTGGGTTCACACGTCGTTGCCTTGCACAGGAGGTAGCCACATGCTTCGCATTTGTGACATGTCTCCTTCCCATAGAGCAAGGCATTCCTCGAGAAGGTCCGTATTTCAGAAGCTGAAAGCCCAAAGGGTGGTGCCGCGTCAGTGCTTCAATAACTGGAGTTTTGAACTCGCATCCACATGTGCGTATTGGAAGTGGAGGACTCCGACTCGTATACACGTTGGCACAGCCAGATTGTGTTCATCGCCAGGGACTACAGGTTTGAGCAAAGGATAGCGTTTTATTTCTACACCGCCAGCATTTGCCAAAGCCATCGCCAGCTTGTCCCAACGCAAGTGCAGTTTTGTCAAGCGCGCCTCACCTGACTATTCCGTGCCGTGTCAGGCATATGCAGTAGAGCGGTTGCGTACACTGCGGCTCAAGCTATCCAGCCTGAGTTGAGTTGTCCCACGAGAGAGGTTTGTGCATCTCGTGTTTGGTGAGCATGGATGAGTTGATGACGGTTGCCTTCCTGATTCTCTTGTACCTCGCCGCAGTGACAGTTGTCAGCTGGTGTTGCTTGCAGCATCCATATGTCAAGCGCATGGAACCAGAGGTTCCGGTCTTTGTACGGAATCCGTCACTGAGAACGGAGAGTTTCCATTTTCCACGCTGTGGCCAGCTCAAGAAGGCTCGAAATGTGAAGCGGTATCGATCTTGTCTGCATTGCGTGCCATATATGTGAGTCATCATGTTGAGCAGGGGTGCGGAAGACGTAAGCCCTCCCCAGGCACCGTGATGACTTCAAATGTGTATAATACACTTGTATACTTGGGAAGTTGCTTGTGTAGTAGCTTGCCGCCTTGCATGAGCGCACGCCACGCAACTGCCCCTCGCTGTGAATCAACCATTGCAGACTTGTGGGTATTGCGTGCCGCCTTACCTTGAGTCATTGTGTCGTGGAGATCTTGTGGAATGCTTTTGGGTATCTGAGTACCCCAAGTCCTAAGATCGCGGAGCGCAGCTTCCTTTGGCGCATTTTGAGACGCCTGCATTTCAGCAGGGCCAATGCATGACAATGAAGACCATCCCAGACCCTAAGGGTTTTGAGGTTGCAATCAATCTTTTGTACCTTGTACACATTTTGGCTCAAGGCTGGAGATCCCACTTCGCAAGTCAAGGCCAAGTGTCGGTTTCCATTTTGTTTACAGTAGGTACGAACGTGCCCTGCAGCGTTTACTTGGAAAGGCTAAGCACAGCCTTCAAGCCCTAGCCTGTGGCATCACAAGGACCTTTGGTGGAGAAGTTGATAATTGAATCAATAGATCTTGTGGGAGCAGTTTTGCTTTTTTGACATGATGACATAAGCCAGAAATATACGTGCGGAGAGTTGGATGTCTAGAGATATGTTCGATTTCTACAACTGCCGAGATCTGCATTGCTACCAAGCGGGGAACGGTGTAGGGTTCAGGGTTTAAGTTTAGGCTTCGGGTCAAGTACGTGCCCCTTTGCCGGCTAGTTGCCAGTGCCTGCCTTAGAAGCTCTCAAGAAGTATCAGCTAGCTTTGTCCGAACGGCGCATTAAGCACCGCCTTTCGACGAGCCGAGCTGTGCTTGTCTGTACGAGTCTGAGCCTGAACATGTCTAATTCAAGCACGTGGTGACGAAGACGGCAAGTGCTTCAGGCGGCTTAGGTCTTTAGGTCCGGCCGTCGGGGATTTGCTTTGGGGCGCAGGCAGCACTCAGGGGCTGGCCGTTGTCTTAGACGCAACACAGAAACAACAGATTTCCAACCGCTGCCCGCTAATTGCCGCTAATTGCCGCTAATGCCAAATGCCTAAGACTAAACAGGGATTACAGCCCCGGATGACGCCCACGGAACCGCAAAATATCGCAACCAATTCTGGGCTAATCCATAGTTGTGCACCATATTGGGTCATTTACCAAACGTGCAGGGACGTGAATGCTGACTAACAGGCTACTGCTGAAGCAACACTCTGCCAAGCTATCGCCTGGGAGCGGGGAGAAAATTAGACTTTAATTTTGTGCCCGGTGCAGTTGACATTTAGCACACAGGATAAAGCGTCTGATGATTTTACATTCCACTTTCTTCAGTACAATATTGGAGGACATTTTGGTTGTGACAGCGCCATTCTTGAAGATGTCTGTTGATACTGGCGGTGATGCTGGCGGTGATGCTGTGCGGGGATGCCTCGCGGTGATGCTGTGCGGTGGTGCTGGAGTTGCTTCATGGCACCATATGGCATGATCACGCTGCGTTTTTTGAGAGGGCATTTTTAAAAAATAAACATGGTCTCAAAAGCACGGTTTGTTTGTTCGAGGGGCGCTTGCGGGGGCGCTGAGCAAGGCTGGCGGGGATGCTGATGGGGATTGCGTGCATTGTTGTTTGGAATCGCTTGGTGGCTCGCAGCAAAGAGTGTGACACGGGCGTTCACGGGCATGGGCATTTCTTGAATCTTGTTGCAAAGTTGCGCGCACTTCAATTCAATCGATGTCGCAATGGGATTGGGGTGGAGACTGGGGCAAAAAACGCCCGCCAAGGCCGAACTAGCTTTTCATTACAGCATCAAAAAAACTGTGTTTCGCAGGCGTGGCCCGTCGGACGACAGACGGCAACAGAAGCACAAGGAGGCCCTCGCCGAGAAGGCTGATCAGGCCATGACCCCCCCCCACTCCGTTTCTCATGTGAATCATTGCACGACACCCGCCCAGGCCAGGGAGCTGGGGCGATTGCTGGCCCTTCTCGGGGCCGAACAGGAAAAGGCCAAGGGTCTGCAGGAGAAGATCGAGCGCTACATCACTGCCTACGACGAAAGCTCCCGCAAGCTCATTGCGCTCGAGATCAGCGACGCTTCACAGAAAACAGAGATCTCGAACAGGGATCTCCGTCTTCTCCTCGGCCGGCTGCATGGCCTGCTCCGTCTTCTCCTCGGCCGGCTGCTCGGCTGGCTCGACCGGCTCCGTCTTCTCCTCGGCCGGCTGCATGGCCTGCTCGGCTGGCTGCTCGGCCGGCTGCATGGCCTGCTCGGCTGGCTGCACGACCTGCTCCGTCTTCTCCTCGGCCGGCTGCATGGCCTGCTCCGTCTTCTTCTCGGCCGGCTGCATGGCCTGCTCCTGGCCGGCTGCTCGGCTGGCTCCCTTCTTAGCCGGCTGCATGGTCTGCTCCGCCTTCTCGGCCGGCTGCTCGGCTGGCTCCGTCTTCTTCTCGGCCGGCTGCATGGCCTGCTCCGTCTTCTTCTCGGCCGCCTTACCAGCGTGCTTGGCTCGTATGGCCCTGAAGCGCTCCTCAAGCTTGTTAGCAGAGTTCTCATCTGAGCTCTCCTTCAAGCTCTCCTCTAAGCCCTCCTTGGAGCTCTTCTTCTTGGCCTGCTCCTCGGAGCTCTCCTCCTTGGCCTGCAGAGGCCCTCCCCCCGCAGCCTAAAGCGCTTCATCAAAGCCACGACTCCCGGACCTGGTTGCGGGGCACTCATTGAAAGGCAGGCCGGCCATGAGTGCAAACACAGAGAAACAAGGAAACGGCGAAACACGTAATAGAGAATCAAAGTCACAATGAGACATTACTTATCGTGCATTTATTAATGCATTTGTATTTGAAAAACAATTTTGCATGTTATTGGTGATGCTTCTACATAGCCACAAATGGACTACCCAATCATATCATGCTAAAATATGGAAACACAAAAAGAGTAAGACGTAGATTTGCAGGTTGGCAAATCAGTAGCTGTCAAAACATTAACGCCACGAGAGTTTGCATAATGGTTGGCTTTGAAGGTTTTTGAGTTTGATATGTACAGACACACACACACAAAAAAAAACAATAAAATTGTAAAGACATATATTTCTGTGTTTGCTCACATATCTGTATATTTTCATAGTTCTATAGCTTCAAGCTGTTAATCATTGAGATATCTATAACTGCTTTTTTGGGGGAGGGGGGCTGAAACAAACACAAAGCGAACGGGGAATAGCAAATTATGAACAACTTTGCTTCTGTGCGTCTCTGTTTTACATTACTTGTTTCTCTTAGCGGCCTGTTTCTGAAGTCTTTGTTTCTTTGTGTAATTGTGTCCTGGCTGCCTAGTTTCATTGTTGATTTGTTTCTGTGTATCGTTTCCTTGTGCCAAGTGTGCTTCTCTGTCTGCTTTATCGCAGTGTCTCTGTTTCTCTGTCTCTTGCTTCTTTGTGTCTTTGTTGTCTTCCTCTCTTTGTTATTTTGTTTTGAGCCAGACATATGGTGGCAAGGCTTCGGGGTGCACAGCCGTTTGCGCATGGGGAAGATGGGCCCAACGGATTAGACACAAGCACGCAAGTACGCAGGCGCACCGGCACAAACGAACGAACAAACGAGAAAACAAACAAGCAACCATGATCCCAGAAGAGCAACCACACAAACACGGACACACTATCACACAAGCGCACAAACCAACCAATCAAACGAACAAGCAAGCAAGCAAACAATCACCTACACCAAGCATCAGCACAGAAGGACTCGGTCTCTCTCCCCCCTCCACGTGGGACCCAGGAAATGTATGCCTGGCCGGAGCCCCTTGGCACTGCAGCGGCGCCGCTTTGCGACCCCTGGCTCGACCACGCGGCTTGGCTGAGCGCCGGTCACCTCGGTCGCTAAACGAAGCAATCCAAAATGGAAATGTAGTTATTTCAGGCTTATATCCAGTCGTTTGAATCCCAAGTTGCCCAGGTGGGTGGTTTGGGGATTGGAACCCATGTGCACATTGATGCATATCAATCAGAATAACCGCCAGCAAGAATGCACAACACACATGCACAGCCACACACAAAAACACGCTTTCTATGTACAAGTTCCATGTGCAATTATCAAGTAATTATCAAACAGGCTGGTTTCGAACCACCACCAACATGTAGCATGTACATGTATGCTGGCTGTTCGGCCCACAGGGATTATAGCCCTGAAGATGCATTAAGGCAACTAGAGCCACCATTTGCAAGCATCCAAAGGCAGCGGGCGCCTCCCCAACGCACCTAACCCCCGCCAGCTCTCGCTTCTGCAAAGAACACGTGTTACCTTGGGAGACAGGGGCGCAAAACGGGACAAACAGCAGGATGCCCACATCCCGCACATCACCGTCACCTAAGTTGGTGTTTTGGGTTGGTGGAATGGAGTTCCTGGCGAGAGTTGAGAGAACCACTTCAGCGCATTCCCCACCTGTAATGTATGGGACGGGGAGGTACCCCCCGAATGCTCACCCGAAACTGGTCGGTCAGAACATCTCCATCCAAAAAGAGGCCGCGAAGATCGCGCCAAAAGTTCAGGATTCCCTTTAACATTCCTGCATTTCAACATGTTTTTCCCCCCCCCCCCCCGCGTGCGCCCTACTTCCCTTCGCTCCTTTTCTGGGAAGCCAAAATTCCACACCCACATGGAGAACCCTTCCCCTGACCCCGCCAACACCTGCAGGCGCCCGCGGAAAACGCGGAGCGGTTCCAGGCGGTGCTGGAGCTCGAGGTGTGGCAGCAGAAGCGCCATGCCAAGAATGCGCCCTGGCCCATGGATTTGGGGAGTACCCTCTGCCACTGGGCGGCTCGTCTTTTTCTTCTTGAGTTGTTCCCCCCCCCTCATGTGTTTTTTTGGTTTCAGTTGAGCCTCTCTTATTGCTTTTGCGGCGAGACATGGTCATGACTATGACTATGACCCTCCAAATTGATGTGTTTTTCTCTAAGGATACATGTGGGTCAATCAAGATGTAGCCCCCAGTCGGTCTCTCGTAATATTGTTGGGTCATGTGTGTTTTGGTTGAGGCTCGGCACCCTTTGCAGGGTAGCGACAAGGAAACCAGGGAAACCTCCATTGTCAATGTTGGGGGGATCCTTATGTTTACGCAAACACGTGCTGATTGGTTTCAGTTTGGTTGTTTGTATTGTTTGTCATCATTATTTGCTTCTTAAAACAGATGGGGCCACCCTTTCTCCATGAAGGCAGCGTCGTTTGATGTGGTTTGCTCTATTCTTTGGCTTAGTCGCTTGTGTTGCTAAGTTGCACGACAGTTATTGAACAACGTGTGCGACCTGTGTGTTTGCAAAAGCACTGGCAACCGATCCATTGTTTAGTTGTGACTTCTAGTGGCAATATTTGTTTGGTATTCAGAATGCGGTATTCATATGAGCGTGGTTCCTTTTTGACCCTGTTGAGGCTCGGGACCCATTCCTTTTTTTTTCTAGGCAAGTTGTCATTTGCCTCATATGCTTTTACTCCCCACATTTACGACTGGCATTGTCAAGACTGGGGTAAATGGGCTTGGGCCTTGCGATGAAGGGTCCCTTAGCAAGCGGTTCTTACTTGATATTTTGGGATACATTGTGATTAGTTGGCATTGGCTGCTTCAGGTGTACGTCACGCTGGATGACAAGAAGACAGCGTTGAGGGCCGTACACCTCCGATGCTGGAGAGAAGGTCAGGCGAGCAATTCGACTCTGACGATACTTGGCGCATTGAGGAGGTGTGTCAAAACTAGGGAACCTCCGCAGACTTGGCCAGGTAGAACCGGAAATCGAGTGGAAGCATGTTGTTAGTTTTGAGTTGTTTCCTGCCGTGAGTCAGTGCGTCCTTGCCCATATTCCAAGGGCCGGGTACTTTCCATCTTCCTTCATGCCCGACGGCTCGAAGTTGTGGTACGTTGCAGGCACGGAGACCTCTGACTTGGGGCGTCCTGGGGGACCATTCGCCTCGTAAGGGGGGATTCTTCGGTGGGTTCCGCGTTAATGTGAGGTCTGCTTGAATGTGACCTCCTCAAACAGTAACAGTGCCAATGCTTAATTTGGCTTTTGTTCAGTTGGGGTGGGCGTAGGCTTGAGTTGGGCCAATACGTGGCTCGGGCGCCTTTAAGAAAACAAGGTTGGGCCAGCTTTGAAATGTGCGGGAAGTGACTCAGGCTAAGCACCCCTTAGAATGAGAAGATAGAACAGATACGAAAGATAAATGTGCTTTGCTCCGCGGGCAAAACTAAACCGCCAAAGTGTCTGCTCAGTGGGAAAATGGCGCATCCCGTTGTTAAAGCGGGTTCAACATTTCGTGGGAGGCTACCCACTTAGGCGAAAGTAGATGGAATGGTTTCCTTCGTGTGGGCACTTCTGTGGCTATTTGGTTGGATCCTTGGCCAGTGCATTTTCCGATTGGTCCCACAAAAAGCAACTTTTAGAGGGGTCAACAGCAACCAAGGCAAGTAAACGGGATGATCGAATCTGCAGTGCAATCCATCTAGGGGGCACTGCTTACATCAGCCGATGCATCGGTAGGCACAGAGCCGCTTTGGCTGGACAAAGGTGAGGAGACAAGCGAGGAGGCGGACGCGCAAGACACCGGGCACGAAAGAGCCCAATGTTTTTGTTGTTTTTTAGTTATATAAAGTGGTTCAGGGGGGGGTAGTTGTTTGATGTGTCCCAATTGACACGTGACAAACCCAAAGGGGATGGGTGATTCTCTATTTCAGACACTTTTGCCGGGATGGGTATTTTGGATCTTTCCAAACTCCCAACACCCAGGCAAGGAAGAACAAGAAGAGGAAGAAGAAGCGCGAGGCCGCTGTTGCCATTGGAATCGACACATGTCTACCGCAACGAGCGTATGGTGAACGTAGCATTTGCAAGATCTGGCTATGAGTTTTCATGGATAATGCGGACCCCCCCCTGAAAAGTGATTGGTGGACATAAATCCCCACCTGAATGATGTCCACCAAAGGGTCCCTTGTCAAAACTCACACCCATTTTTTGGACTTCCCCCGAAGGTCCTGCCAGGAAAGGGTATGCGACGCGTGTCACTCGGGACCCGCGCAGGCGACGGAGGCGACCGCGGGCACGGCAGCTCGGCACGATCTCAATCGGCAGACGAAGACGGGCTCCACTACCCTCAAAGCACTACTTCAAGGGAACATAGGCAGGGCTCCTTAAAAGATACATTTTGCCCATCTGAAACATGGCTTTTTTCACCGACACAAAGGGAAACCACCATTGGCAAGGCAATGTTCAGGTGTATAATGTAAGGATCCCTGATAGGGTATACAACCACTGCATTTTAATGCCACCATAGTATAAGGGGTATGGCTCCCATGTTCCCTTGCGCATGACCTTTTTGTCCTTTCTGCTCCCAATGGGCAATGTCGAGTGGCTTGTAGGTCCGAAAAAGGGTTCGCAACATGACATGTTTTGCTGCATCCAGTTGTGTCTTTAAGACGTCCACTACCCCTACTTCCACTACTTACATGGGAAATAGAGCAGGAACCCTTGAATAGTGATTATACAGTGGCTGTATATATATATATATATATACATATGTCCCATCACTTGTTTCAGGAGTAGTGGTTTGGGAGCAGTGAATGGCAGCTTGGAGTTTCCCTGTCCCTTGCCGCTTGAACCGCGCAACAGAGCCCTTATGCACCAGACCCTTATTGGCCATGTCGGTGGGTGGTTCTAGTGCCTGGCCTACATACACCATTTACCATCTTGGTAGAACCAAAGGCAAATTGGTTTGCTGCGCTGCTCCCTTGCTCCAAGGGCCCGTTTTGTTCATTGCAGGAAGTTGCAGCGCCCAGCTCCCACGTGGATGACGCCATGTGGGGCAAGGTCACGGAGGCGGTGTCGAATGCGGAGATGCAGAAGAAGAGCCTCGGCTGTCCACTGGCTGATCCCCTGTCAAGTCCCCTAACCTTCGATCCTCTTGGATATGTGCATCTCATTGTGCGTTTCATCTTTACTGGGGGTCGGAGGCAGGCGGATGTACAGATTTCATTCCCAAAAACCCGATAAGCGGGGCCCGCAAAGCCGGGATAAACAAACTTCACGTGTCCAATGTAGCTTGCCGGGTGGGCGGATTCATTTTACACACGCGAAAATTGTGAGGCCGTGGTCAGCGAAATTGGCAAAGGGAAGCGGCGCAACGTAACCAACAGGGGTCTAAACGGCAACCCCTGTGAGGATATGGACAATCCTAGAGGGCACAGCTCCCCGACAAACAATGCCCTTTGCAGTTGTCTCAAGGCAAGTAGCCTCGCAGTGATGCGACTCAAAAGCAGGTTGTGTTGTCACGGCTCACAATTCACTATGCCAGCACGAACTACCAGCATTCTGGTGAATCATGTGTTTGAGGGTACCCTTCTGGGGGTTGTTTTGAGGGAAGCCAAGAGAAAATGGGGTTCCCTCGTTTAGAAAGAAACCATTTGGCCTGTGCAGTGGACAGAAGTGGACTTCTGAAGAGTTGAAACTGCTGGACAAACTGCACAGCCGAGGCTGTACCGGTTCTTCAAGTGACTCGGCAGCAGCACATTCCACCTCCTTTGCTGGCCCTTTTCTCGGCACATGTGGCAGCCAAGGAAGTCCTACCACGGCGCGAAAGCGAAGGCCCTGGGAAGATGGGCTTCAAGCGTGCGCTTGCGTGCAAGTTCGGCGGAAAACAGGGTGAGCTCAATGCCCAAGTTGAGACAATGCCCGCGACGTCACACTGGTATCAAAGGACCTACTTTGGTCCCCTTGGCAACCCCTGGCCGATGAGCTGCGTTTCCTGCGGCTACGTCTCATGGTGAAGCGTGTGTTTTCGCTGCAGGCGGAGGCGGCAGATTCACCCGAACCCTGTGCCGCCTTCCTGGTGCTTTGGGCGGAGGACGTGACAGCGCGCTTGGCACAGGCCAGGCGAACGGTAAAAGCCCCGGTTCGTTCAGTGCACCTTCTGTATTCCTCTTGGTTGGGTTCCTAAAAGTAGTCATCCCAACTTGTTCATGTGAGCTCAAGGAGCAGAGTTCTAGGATGCCAGGATTCATGCAGTTTCCTTCGCAGGGGAAACTCGAGACCCATCTCAACAAAGGGAGGTAAAGGAGGCTGAGAGTGTCCCGGCATGAGCAAATCCGCCACGGGGCCGTTTTGCCGCACACCAACGAACCCGATTACCCAGACCTCTGAATGCCAGGCTGCCTGGGGGCCTTCTGCCACGCCATAGCCTCAACCTGAAAGATGGCGCTCGTTTCCGGTGGTTGGGTCTGGTTTGAGGTCGCCTCCCCGAAAATCCGGAGCAACATGGTCCAGATTGCCCCTTTGGGGCTGGACATGGAGATGTTTTCTTGCGGTCGGTTTGGTTCTCAGTCCTTGCGACGGGCCCAAATTGTGGCTTTGTAAGTCGGGCGTAGTCCAAAGTTTGAGATGGACAAGCTCGATGATGCTTTTTGGTCAGCACAGATGAGTACAGAGAAAGATGATATAAGACCTCCTCAACCACACAGCTGAAGGTTGCAGCCCTCTGCAGATGAGATCATCAGCGTCACAAAGTTGATGCTCGAGGGCGGGTTGGTGCCGGCCCTTTGGACAAGGGGGTGGCCGTTCCCAAAATAGGGTCCCAGCAAGATTGCCTTTGGGTCATTGAAAACTCAGCTTACCAGCAGATTTAGAGGGATATAATCGTAGGATCCCTGCCAAAAGCCCGACCACTTGGCCCACATCTCAATCCCTGATTTGCGCTTGAGGCATACTTTGGCTTTGGGGCGTCCAGCGGCGCATGTCGAGAAATCGTCTAGCAGGGTCGTGCCAATTGCCATTTTTCCGTGTGTATGTGTGAGTGTGTGTGTGACCTAGGAATCTTCGTTGGCGGGTTGCGCACGTTTGCATGAGGACAATGGCAGACATTGACCATTCAACAACATGTTTTGGGCTTGGTATTTGTGGCTTTGTTCGGGGAAAAACATGACATGACCATACATGACCAACCTACCGCCAGAGAGACCCCAACTTGACACACCGCCATTTCACAGAATCTGCTCGATTTGCAAGTCAAGCCCCTGCGGGAGGGGCAGTTGCCCTCGCAACCCAAATGAACAACTCAAGGAAGCGCTTAGTTTTTTGGGAACTCGGCCCACGTCATGTTTTTGAACACCGTGTGAGCTGTGCAATCCCACTCCTTGAAGCAGGCTGTAGTCCATTGCGTTCCGCTTTGAGGGTGTATGCCTGAGAAGTGTTTTGGGCCCTCCGATGAAAGCGTCCTGGGCGATGAGCACAGAACGTTGAGGGGAAGTACTCCCGCTCACTAACGTGCAACCTGACCTTCAAAACCTGGTCCCTTTAAAAGGACAATGGTGCAAACCAGGACCCCCCGAACGTCGAAGGGTTCCATGTTTGCAAGGAGGGTATACCTTGCGTCACCGCGCCAATTCAGCGGTCGCCCCGAGAGCGCGCGGCATCGATCGAAACCCGAGGAGGGTTTCGCTGCGCGCTGGGGCGAGGAGCTGGAGCTGCGAATCGCGGGGGCGGTGAAGGCACAGCTGGCGGGCGTGGCCGCGAGCCAAGTCGGAGGCGCATGGAGCCTGACCCCCGTGTCAGGTTCTATCTTAGTTGGTGGGAGGGTAATTATCAGACCCTGGCCCCAAGAGAAGCCAAGAGAAACACGGCGTGGTAGGGCTTCCCAACCCTGGAAGGCGAAGAAGTGAAGGAATTGCTGAAGGCCGAGGAACGGCCCAAGGCCGAGGAAAGGCCCAACGCCGAGGAATGGCTCACGGCCGGGGAACGGCCCAAGGCCGAGGAAGGGCCCAAGGCCGAGGAAGGGCCCAAGGCCGAGGAATGGCTCATGGCCGAGGAACAGCCCAAGGCCGAGGAATGGCTCATGGCCGAGGAACGGCCCAAGGCCGAGGAACGGCCCAAGGCCGAGGAAGGGCCCAAGGCCGAGGAATGGCTCATGGCCGAGGAACGGCCCAAGGCCGAGGAATGGCTCAAGGCCGAGGAATGGCCCAAGAAGCAGTTTGCGGGCCCAAAGGCGGCCCAAAGAAAATGGGTGAATAAAAGGCATTCGGCTGCTGCGAGGTGAATTTGCAAGAGGGGCTTGTTTTGGGGGCAGAAAACTAGGCTGCTAGCAGCAACGTGTTGGGTGAGACAGGCTTGTGCGGTAAACAGCTCCGTGCGAAGCCCGTGGGTCACGTTCCATCACGGCTTCAATGAAGCTATATGTCCCCCGCATGGTCACGTTACTGATGAACCTTGGTGAAACAGGGTGGGACCTTCAAGCCAGCTGAGAAGGCGAGATAAGGAAGCACTGCCTACTCGGCTGTTGGCGTGTTTTCGTTGTCCACATTTGACCTCCTTGTGGTTCCTTGCAAGGGCTCCCCGGCGTCGTCCTTCGAAAAGCTGTCTTTGTTTGAACCTCCCAGAAAGTCCTTGCCAAGCATGCCAAGCAAAGCTCGTCGAAGCATCATCTCAAAAGGTTGCAAACCCCTTCACTCAAAGTGGATCCTTTGAGGACAGACTCTAGGGGGTTCCTTCCATTCATTTCTTACTGGTGCTCAGGGAAGGAGGGAATGGGCGGGAATGGGGGAACATAAACCATCCAACTCTTGTGGCTTTCCTTAGGAATCCCTACTGAGTTAGCGCGGCGCCGCATGCTCTCCGCACTGCAGCCGCGCTGGCTTGAGCCTTGGGCGGCATGGCGCCCAAGACGCAGATCGTCACGGAGGAGCCGCCGGCGAAGGCTCGACGGCTCGGCTCGCGCAGCAGCTCGGGTGGCGCCGTGACTCTATTTGCAAAGCTGAGAACTCCATGTGGGCGTCTCTTTTTCTAGGGGACCCTTTAAAATGATGGTTTGCCTTTTGGTTTGTCTTTGAAACCACCACACAGGGGGTAACAACTCCAAAAAGCACACCAGACCTCATTCGACACGTTCTTTGATTAAACACCTTGAACTTTCAAGCGCACCATTCGCAAGGAGCTTGACCGGTTTCTGCGCACTTTGGGCCCTGGGCTTCTGCTCGTAGCTTTCGCTGCTTTCGCGGAAACCGCGGGAACGACTGCCGATTTCGGCCAACAAAAAGGCACCAAGGGCTTGGCTAAAAGACCCACCCGTGAGTTGTGCTGAATGCCAGGTCGCCAAGACTGGCTTTGAGGAGGCGGAAATCGATGCCGCCGAGGCGGTGAGGGCTCGGGAGAAAGCAAAAATAATGCGGTATGTGGGAACCGCTTTTAACATGTCCAGCTGTACTTACTGTACAGATGTTTGCAGGTCTTCGCAGATGTACAGATGTTTGCAGATGTGTGGAGCTCTGGTTTGGTTGTTTGAATCCATGTGGTGAAAGCATGCCTCGTTGTAAATGCATTTGTTGTTGACATGACTGTAAACGCAGTGTCAGCAGCCGCACGCAGTCCACCAACCATTATGTACGATGCGGACTTATCTGGGTCTGTTCATGAGTGAGATATTCCCAAAACTGTCCGCTTTTGTTGGGTGCTTGCATCAGCATGCTGGATATCGCTCTAAATCGTGCAGCACCATTCTTATCTATGTAGATGGATTGTTTTGTCGTTTTGCATTGTGCAGCCACGCGTGCAGCCACACAGAACTTGACCACGGACGAAATGTTTAGAGGAAGTCAATTCTCTCACATTGTTTCAGCTTGCAGCAAGGAATCTGGGGAGCGGCAAATAAGAATCTTACAAGTATGTCTCTGCCCAATCAATGATTGATGCATTGTGCTGTGGCGCTTGGGCCATAAATGCACCAGCTCCTACAGGGGGCAGGGCTTCCCCCCCCCAAGAAAACAAGAAGCAACACCGAACCGAGCAAGAGAGCCTTTTACCTGCAAGTTGAGGAGGATAAGCTGCTGGGTAAAGAGGACTAATGACAAGCAAATTGTTGGTGAATTGTTGGGGGGAGCATCCAATTGTCCCGTGTGGGGACTACTTGGCTTCCAATCAGAGCATGGGGGCTGGGGCGTTCCCAGGATAAGAGGCCAGTCCTGGGGGAGTCCGTAGACATGGTGCCAGAGGACAGTACGCTCAATGTGGTGCCCACAAGTGCGGGCAAGGCCTGCTTTCCGAGCACGAAGGTGACTGACTTGCCCACGGCCAATGCCTTACGACCTCTGATTTTTTGTGTTGAGCCCGCAAGAGAAGGTGACGATGTGAAGCAGCCTGGTGAGGAGACGCAAATCAATCATGTCCCTTCACTAAAGAGGGAAACCCTTTTAGGTGGCCGTAGATGGCACAGCTCTCCCATGTTGGTTTCATCCTTCCATCTACCCTAAATGCCATGTCTTTCCGCTGGTATCTCGGTTTGCCACCCTTGAACTAGTGTGCTATCTTTGTGGGTGTAGATGGGCCGCAATTGAAACCAGGCCCAGGCCAACCCCTATAAACATGCTGCCATTGTCTCAACAACCTTCCGGCTTGCCTGAAACGCATTTCGCCCAACCCGGGGGCCGGGCCGGAAATTCCGATGTGCGCCCTCGAATATCACAGGGGAACTCAGTCAACATGGGCGTCAAAGGCACCAGTTGCCTTGTCGTTTGGGCAAGCCAATTTCACGCCTGAAGATGTCGGTATTGCAAGCCAAGGTTTGCTTCAATATTGCAAACTTGTTTTTTTTTCCCCGGAGTGACCAGTGGCACGTGTTTGTTTCCAGTATCAGGTCAGGTCATAAGAGACATGGCCAGGTGCTGATGGCGATTTCGGACGGGGGTCTGCAGTTCCTGGTGGCGGCTTCTCGGGCCAACGTGGGCGTGAAGAGCGGCAGGCGGATTCGGGGATGCGATTCGAGCGCGTTGAGGTGTGCCGTGTTTCGGAGTTTTTGGGAAGGGCAGGTTTGCTCAAAGGGAAAGAATAGGAAGGCGCATAGGTGTCTTTCTTGGTTGGTTTGCTTAAAAAACAGAGGGCCCTGGTTTACCTGGTGGCTCAATCATCTACCAGGGCCATCTATTTTCCAAAAAGGACACCTATGGGCTTTGCTGGAATGCCTCTTCAATAATGAGCAGGAAATGGATTGCCAGGGGCAACTGCGCAAGATGCCTATTTCCCAATTTCCAGCAGCGTTTCTGTTCCTTGTTGAGGTGTGCATTCTTGCTTAGCCACTGGGCAAGTTTGCATTCCTGCATCATGTGGTTCAACACCTCACTGCCAACCGTGACTTTGGCACACTCGCACAGAAAAGGGCCCCCGCTGATGATTCTATGGTGCCGCTGTTTTAGGAGTCAGATGCGAATTGCATTTCACCTCTGAGCCGTGTGCTCTCCCTTGACCTTAGCGGATGGCGTTTCCTTTGTTTACCTCCTTTCCCCTGGAAAAAACTGCTCGTTGCGTTGGTTTCCTTGGCAAAAGCGACCGTCGCCTGAGTCAAAGCCAGAGGTACATGTTCGAGGTCCGGGTGCTAGAGGTGCTCCTGCCGGCCGTGCCAGGCGCGAAGTGAGACTTGGTAGTTGGGATTTGAGTGGGAACCTTTTTTGACATGATGATGATGGTGATGATGATGATGATTTAGGCTCAGCACATTTTAAGGTCCGTCATGATTTATTTTCAGGTTCATAATGCTGCAATATTCGCAGTCTAAGGTTCAACATGACTTTTATGTTGGCAACATGTTTGATTTTAAAGGTTGACTAGATGTGGCCCCGACTCTAAACATGTCACGTTAGCTGGGAGTTGGTGGCCAAATCTGAGGTCTCACCTCGGGCAATAGTCTGATACTGACTTCCTGAGTTTATGAACTTTAAACTTTTTGGGAAGACCATTTTAGTGGTAAATATAAAGTTTGGACTTTTTTTGGGCCATCCACTCAGCCAGTGAGGATAGGTCAGTCCTCTGCCCGCGCAATCTGCTCAGCGGATTCACTCCAAATATGTCTCAAGTTGTCCAATCAGTATCCGCGCTGTTGGGGCTTTGACAGGTGGCCGCACCAGCCCGCTGCCCACCCGGCAGATGTGCCGGATTGGCTTCTCCAAGCAGCACTCGTCCCTGTTCCTCGGGGAAACCGTGGCTTGGGCTAGAAGGCCATGGGAGACTTGGGCGCGGTGCTTTGCCTTGGGTGGAGGTCCCTTTTTTGGGTTATCTCCCGAAGAAAGTTAAGCATATCTAGAAGTGGGTTTCCGCTCGGGCTGCGCACCTAAGGTCCGGCATGACAGTGCGCCGCTGTTTTCCTTTTCTCATAAAGCTTTGTGCACTTCTTGTCGCTTTTGAAGGGATGAGCCATGGTGGAGTAAATTGCTTCCCGATAATTGCCAAGATCTACACAAGTCCGAAGAAGCAAACGCTGGCTACATCAGGTTCGTTAGCTTCTGACTCTAGATGTTCTATGTTTGCTGGAAGCGTGAGATTTGCCAGCTCCTTCGCCCTAGGAGGACTCTGTGTGCTTTGATTCGGACGGATGCTTTATCTCGAACAAGCAGAAGGGCCAAGTTGCCGAACGCTTCGTTCGCGACAACGTGCTGGGAGTTCTGCTGAACCTGGACCCGGCTTCTTGACTTTGGATTTGGCGCCCCTGAGGCGAAGCGCGGACCTAACCTTTCATTTGGTTAAGAAGATTTGTTATTTTTCCCCTGTTGGTTTTAAAGGGAATCTATCACTACTGGAGTTATTTGTTTTTTCCAGGGGACTTTAGAAAATGGAGGTAACCCATTGCTTTCCCACTTAGGGGGGAATCACCATTCCGGTTGATTGATCAAGGGTCGACATTTCGCTTAACATGCTTTGCTCGATCCCAGGGTTCTGCAGCCCAGGTCATGAGAATCGGGTGGTAGGGCACGTTAAAGCCGAATTCGTCAGGACTACTTCGGACCACATGGATTTCAATGGATGCCCTTCACCACCTAAGAAGCCCTGGGATGATGACCCTCCTGCAAATACCACAAAGTGGTGCAGAATTTCGTCCATCCATAGTAGGACAGAAAAATGTGTCTAATGATTTGCTCCTTATATTTCCCCAGCTCCTGAGGCCAGTCCCAACGCCAACACCGTCAGCCTCTTCAAGGACGGCCGCAGAGCAGCCACAGCGGCAATCCGAATGGGTCGGGGAGCGAAGGGAAGCTGCTCAGATTCCGCGGATTCCGCTTGTCGAAACGATGTCTCAAAAGAGGGTGGTTTAACAGCAAATGCGTTTTTTTTTGGCGTTCCTGAGACGATCGCAACCTCGAAAAACACACTCTTTTCAACCTGGCTAAAGAGAAGCCCAAAAAAGCTGCCATTTTGACACACGCCCTGTTTTTGGTTTGGTTCCATGCATGCGTCGGCCAATTGCCGACACCACGCCAAACCCTCAGCCAAAGGCATCTCAAACATGGGGGGCATCAATTTTTACCACCTTTCTTGGACTGACTCCTTCTCTGTTGGGATCTGTTGGGTTACCTGCTTTCCTTCCACGAAGAAAGCACAAAACCCAAGGACCCCGCCACAGCCCACGCCGGTTTATTGGAACTTGGGTCAACCAGGTCAGTTGCTCATCTCTGAAGGGCAAAGGGAAGCATGAAAAAAGCCCGCAGGTACAAGCTCACTTGGCCAATTGTGACCATCCGTGTGAGTCACATGAGGTATGCAAGCCTCAGCCCCTTCCGGAGCCTTTGCTGGGACACGCGCTCTTCCCGCACGTGTCCTTCCGGAACGCCTCGCTCCAGGCATGGGTCGTGGCCAGGCGAATGGTCAGCTCACAGATGTCTAGAACGAGTCAGGGTTTCCTCCATGTCCATCTTTTTTTCAGGTAACCCTGAAAAATGGTGGTTTGAATTGGTGGTTTCGGCGTTCTGCTGGAGGGTAAATGGGAAACCCCTCCTCTATCCACCAAACCGCCAATCAGCGGGGAAGCTGAGTGTTGGAACCTCCAAAAACTTGCAGTTTCACTGAAACTACCAGTAAATTGGCAACTCTTGGAGGGGAAATCCGGAGACCCCTGCAAGTGGTTTAGTTTCTTGGCTCCTTAATGGACCAATATTCTACTTGCAAGGCCTTTCGAACCCTGTCAATATTGCCATGGGCTTACTTATGGATAACCTGAAGGGTATTTGCGAGAGAATCATTATAAAGGACCATTGGCAGGGAACTAAAACTCTGCATAATGAGGCGTCGACCATATGCATGCTGATGATGATGTCTCGAGCGTTTGTGAGTGCAGGAGGGTGAGGACATTTCCAATTCTGGGAAGTCTGAGTAAATGGCTGTCAGGTTTGCACGGCAAGCGGGAGTTCTTGGACATGCGGGTGCCATGGCACTTTTCTGGCATGTGGCTAGGGGCTGAGCCGCATGCCGTGGCTCATTGATTGGGGAAACTCAGGGCCGTTCTTTGCAAAGTGCTGGGCTTGATGTTCCGTCTTGCTTGGAGGGGAGGCCCGCCATGCAGCAGACATGCCAGGTGCATTTTGGGCCTGGGCTGCTGGCGCCAGTGCCCTTCAGATGTCGGACCATTCAGGACTGGTGTGAGCAGAATGGGCTTGTTTTTTCCGGTGGTTTCAGCCACCGAGTGGGCTTTGGCGGCTACAATGGCTACAATGTATGCACGATTTGTGTGTCAAGTTCCCACAGACTTCCATTGGGCTCATTCCTGCTCTTGGTGCTGTATGTATAGCCTTGTTTCATTGTCCCGGAGGAAGCAGCAAAGGGATGGAGAAGCCACAGCTACCCATGGGTTGAGTTGGGGATACTCCTTGGGTCCAAGGCCAAGGGAGCATACTTTTCCGGTGTACTTTCTCGGACCCTCCTCTTCAACTCCTTTGACCTCTCTGTGGTGAATGGTCGGCTATACCAGGAAATAGTCATATTTTGCTCACCCACCACCAGTGGTGGGTGGATGCCTTTCTCTACATATTACTACATATCATGTGGGTTTCACCTTCGCAAGTATCGTTAACAGCAGCTATGAAGACTTGGTCCAGGAGCTGATCACCCGATCTTGTGCGCTGCAAGTGTGTTTCTCTTGAGAAGTTCCTTGTGGCCGTCCATGCCAATACTGTACGTCATCGGCTGGCTCGCAACTCACCATTCCATGCGTCCTAATGATTCATCCATGCGCTAGGGCAAGTTCTTGAGCTTATGGCTTGAGTCATGACATGCCGCCGCCGCTTGCTGGCCTGGTGTTCTCATGGCATGGGGGTCAAGGGTCTGAAGATTGTTCAGGCTAGATTCTGAATACGTATTTGAGCAGTTGCTTTCCAGGCAAACCATGCACACACGGGTGGCCTTGCAAGGGCGCAAAAGGGTGTTTTCCCAACCACCGTGGCAGTGCCTTCCTTCCCGGAGACAGGAAGCAGCGGCGGATGACGTGGTGGTGGGCCCGTCCACCTTCTCCCAGGAAGGCAGCTTTGAGATCCTTTTCCCCGTGGCGCTGCCCGATGAAGGCCCAAATTTGTGAGCACGCGAGTCCCATTTGCCAACTTTGTGATTTCAAAAGGCTTCCCCCTTGGCCGAAAAAGGGGATGTGGGGAAGTCAACATTTGGGACACCCGTTAAAGTTCTGGGAGGAAACGCAATGAAGCCATCCATTGGCAGGTTCTGTGTGCCAAGTCACGCGTTCCAACAAACTCGCCCGCTCCAGGCACCTTCGACTGGCTGGACGACTTCCTGCAGAACCATCCAGGCTACACAGAGCTCAGCGTCGCTGGGTTACATCTTTGAATTGCACACGTTTCCCGTTAATCAACGGCATCCTTGTTGCAATTGGGTGGCTTTCACTGAACATGGGCAGCCCAAACAAGGGTTCACTTTATTTGCCAGGGTCGCTGGGCAAGTCAAGCAGTTGCGTTCCTCTTTCAAAGTGAAGCATGCCCGATAAAGGGTTCGTTGAGCCGAGGGTACGGAACCCTTTGTGATAGCGACTTCCATTGCTGATGGAAGGGCCCGCCGTTGCCCAGAAATGCATGATGTTTGACAAGCGATCCCCGACTTCGCCGTGGCTGACAGGCTCGCCTTCTGAATTGCAAACAGTTGTCGGAATGAGAGGGTAGTCGGCCACTATTTCCTATGATGCCAGGGAAAGAGCGCCTTCTTTGAGTAAAGAATCAGTTATTTGGGAAGGCGCTCCAGCATCATCGTGGTTGCAGTAGACAAGCACGAAGGCAGGCTGTTTTTTCCCCGCCACGGAAGGTTTGGGCCTAAAGGAAAACAAACAGGACATGGATATGTGGCCGATCATTCCATGGCCGATCAAGGGCCGGAAGGCTGCGGAGGTCCAAGTGACCAGCACTTGGAGCATGGCCCCAAGCCTCTAAAAGCCGCACACCTAGCGCAGAAATCAGCTCCAAGTGCCCGGATTTCCCCAAATAAAAGTTGATCAACTTGGTCCATTGAAACGATCACCGCTTTTGGGCTCCAAACAGGGGGCGTTGTTTTTGAGCCATCCCCGTAACCCGAGGACCGGAAGATTGTGGAGTGGGCGGTGGGCAGTGGCCTCGGGAAGCCCAGGACGGTCCCAGCGCTTTGGAGCGTCAGCCGCCCGTTCTTTGCATTGGAACCCAAAACGACGAGGTTCCTCAAAAAGAGATTCAGATGCCTCTGAGAACTTCTGAAAACAAAAACGGCATTTTTGTTTCCAAACATTCAGGATGCTTCCCTAAAGCTTCGAGGTGGAATCTCTAAGGAGATCTATATAACACGATGCTTTGTTTGGTTGCGAGTTAGCATGCAGGGGGGAAACTAGAACAACAGCACAGTTTGCAGGCCAAACCGACCAAATGCCAAATTGAGTAAGGCTGGGGTCAAGTCAGGATGCATGATGATGTTCTGCAGGAAGGGTGAAGCAATAGTTATAAACAAATAATGCAGGCTTAAAGCTCAAGCAAGGCGGGATTCCAGGTAAAGTACATTTGCACATGCGGTTTGGATGTGTGCGCGTCGTGACATGATACTCTGTTCGCTTCCGATTGGTGCCGGAGAGAAATCAATGGAAGTATTCTTTGCAATGCCACATGCTGTCACAGGGCTGACACTGGTATTCGCTGGATGGATCTCAATTTGATGTCAGTTTCAGGATATTGGATCAGTCATGGTATGTCATGGGTCACGCCAGTGATTTGGACGGCGGGGCCTGGGTGTTTTGCGGCACCCAAGACTATTATTTGTTGAGGTTGGGCCAAGGGGTATGAAGAGCTTACAGTATGGGCAACTTACGGTTGTGAATGCTTGAGGGTGCTACAACGGTTTTGAAGTCACATGCCGCAACTGCGGTATTTTTGTGTTCTGCGGAAACCGTTGTCAGTTGAAGAGAGGTTGTGTCAGATGACTCGGCTGGGTCCGAGCAGGACGACTTCCCTCAAGAACTGCAACGACAAGCCGGATGTCACCTTCGGTATCCAGGTCATTGATGAGCTGACTCCCAGCTGCTTGACATGTTTGCCAATGTGGGTCCGTGTCAAAATAGGGGGTAACGAAAAGGTGGCTGCTTTTTGGCATTCCTTTTGAGCCAGCCATAAGAATACGGCACCATCAAAAACGTGCACGCACCCAAGTGTTCTCTTCCCCTGCTGCGGAGTGTGCAAGAATAGCTGCTTCTGACAGGAAGCAGGAATACACCTAGGGCCTGCCATTTGCAAAGAATATGCGAAACACTAATTTGTTGGGGTGAACCCGTACCGTATCTCAACACAGTCTACTTTCTGGACTTTTGGACGTGGGGAGATCAACTCCTTTCTGACCAAACTCTGGAAGTTCGATGACTCAGCCCCTCGCGCGTGCAGCTTCGGCAAATATGTCCAGTATCGTCCATTTGGGAGGGACATGGAGGGTCACACTAAGTTTCCCACAAAAAGCTAGGGGACTCGCACTTGTTCTCACTTCTTCCAGGGAAGACATGTAATTTTGACTTCTGATTGAGGGAAGGTGCTGTACTCGATCGCCCCCCTGGTCCCTCGGAACTATGTGATCATGGAGGTGAAGGCCAACCTCCTCAAACCAGAGCGCCAGGAGAATGGAACTCAAAGGGTTTTCGGGTGCCGTGTCAATCCGGCGCGGATGAGGAACCTGGCTGAGTATTTGGGGGGTGCCCGCCCAAAAGGTCGTTGCCATCTAAGCTTTGGGATACCCCCCTCAGTACTGTGATGTAAATCCTGGCTTCCCATTCCTCATGTTTGACTGCAGCCTTCCCGGCCCGATGCGGGATTCAGCTGCGAGGCTTTGCCGCCATCCATGGCGGCATGGGAAGAGGGGGCCGGGCACTGGCAGGGACCTGGGCGCCATGTCAAGGGCGCTCCAGCTGCGCCAGCTGGTGTCCCCGGGCCACGTAGGCTCCGGGGATGCCACTGAGCCAGCCTCCCGGGTCTTCGGCGCGGCTGGAGGTTCGAGGCGGTGACGTCAGGCGGCTGCGACGCCTGGAGCTGGATGCGGATCTGCTGCACAATTGGGCCTGGTGCCTTGCTTTGCTACAGAGACACGTGCCTTACAAAGATGATGGGCCGACGCGACTTGCGGACAACTTCATAGGCAGAGTGGTAAACTTGGAAATTTGGGAAGCCCCCGGCCACCTTCAGAGGAATCCGGAAGCCTGCCGGTTTTGGGTTCCAATTCCTTTCAAAGAGCCCAAAAGGCGAACTGGCCGTTCTCATGGGCGCAGCCCGTGACCCACAGGCACATGCGCAAAGACTCGGCGCTGGACGCTGGCAGTGCACATGCTCTACCTGATGCCGGCCATCCGCATCCCGCGAGGAGCGGCAAACTGAGCAAGCTAAATGGTGTCCGGAAGAGCAGAAACTTGTTATAGCCAGGGGCCTGGCAATGATTGGCCAGGTCTTTGCAAACCTTCGTGGCCACTGTTGACCCAAGAGAGGCGTGAGTTCTGGGCGCTTAATGAGGCTGAATGGCATCCAGCCCTTGGAGGTTGCCCGTCAGCAAGACGCACAGGGGTCCCGAAGTCGGTGCTCAAACTCGGCATAGCTGGGCCCCTTCTTAAAATTTGGAGACAAGCCACCCGTGAACCGGATTCTTTCCAAGCTAGCCTTGCTGGCCGTTTGCGAACGGATTGTCAGGTGTATACTGGTGTTCGCCGCCTCTTTCAGCGCTTTTAAGCACGCTTCTCGATATGGCCGGGTCATTGGCTCCGCGAAATCCATGGACCCTCCTGGGCTGTTTCCGGGGGCTTTTCAGAATTTCCTCGAGCGAGGAGTCGTCAGCTGCAGCAGCGGGATCAACGCCTGTGACAGGGCGGGGCGGTGGATGGCCGGCTTGGAGCTCTTGGTTTTCATGGCGCCTTGCCGGAAGTTCGCTTGCCGTATCCCCGGGCCCCGTGCTTTGCCCCGCAAGACGTGAGAATCAACAGGATTGGTCGGGGTCATTTGTCAGGGGGTGCTTTCTTTGTGTGACGGCTGGGACGGCTCGCGGTCTTGTCTCTCCAACTGATGGTCCTATTGAACTTGCTTGGGGCAACCCTCTTGCACCCAGTGAAAAAATGATTAGATATGGATTCCCTCTGGTTTGGGGTGAGGGGGGGAGGGGGGAGGGTGGGGGTTTCCAAACACCTCCTGCAACAAAACCGCAGACAGTTGTCAGCGGCCGAGCCGAAGGCTTCTGCGCAGATTCTTCCGAACACCGTGTCCTTCAATAGTGCCATCAGCGCTTGTGAGAAGAAGCGCCGCTGGCAACATGCTTTGGCCATCATAGCTGACATGCGCCTCGCTATGGAACAGCAGCTCGCTGCCTTTTTTTTTCTCAGCTCGCTAACTTGGAGGTCAAACGAGCGAGAGCCATGACCTATTTTAGGTCATCCACATGGCAAGTCCCTTTGTTTGAGGCTCAGTTTGGCAATTGTACTAATTCGCGCCTTGGCAGAACTGAAGTGCCAAGAGAATTTGCTTGCACCTTGTGCACTCAGAGTGATCGCCTCTTGATCATTGCAGGCGGATATGGGACAATGCTAAGTCCTCGCAAACACCATGGCCAGGCGGCCTCCATCACTGGTTGCTAAACGGCCCTTGTGTGTGCCCTGCAGCACGGACGTTGAAAGTGGATCAGGGTTGCCCCGAGCCGCTCCACGATGACTCGGCCAGATCAGGCAGCAAATTGGTTTGGCTTCCTGTGGTATTCCTTTGAACGAATGTTTAAAGGGCACCAACTCAACAAAACACAAGCAAGCGAGCAAGCAAGCCAACAAACAAACAAACAGCATGAAATAAACGAGCTGAAAAAGCCATCAACAACAAGCGCGCACGAACAAACAAAGACGCACGCACGCGAACACGGAGGCGAAATCCAGCAGCGGACGTCATCAGCTACAACAGCGCCATCAGCGCCTGCGCCCGTGCCAGCCGCCCCTCGCTGGCGCTGGCGCTCCTCAGCGCATTGGCGGCGGCCCGGCTGTGGGCGACGGTGGTGTCTTACAGCAGCGCGCCTTGGACGCGCGGCAAAGTGGGGATGGTCGCCGAGGAACCAGTTTTTGGGTTTACATGCCTTTGGTGCACACGTATTATGAAGCGTGCAGCTTATGGGGATGTGGCCATGCAGAATTCGGCAGAGAAGCACCATGATTTAGGCGATACACACACATATCTATATCGCACCTCCACAAGGTTGTCCATGATTTTGTTCGCCCTTCATCACAGCCCTAGACGTCTCCGAGCTGGCCTCCACTACCCCATCTACCACCAAAACCCTCCCTCTAGAGAAATAACAACAACCTTCAATACTGTGCGTTTGTTGTGTGGTGGAATGCCCGTTGTTTCTCTAGGGGGTAGCGGATGGTAGGGGAGTGGAGCCCTCCTGAGAAAAAAAAAGCTGTGTCCCGAAGGTTCCATGAACATTTGGAGGGTAGAAGCAACAAGCAGTTTCGTCGGCAGTTTCGCCAGCTTCCGCCACCACTTTCACGCCAACCCGCGAGCAAAGCCCCGGGGAATCCAGGCCATCAGCTCCTGCGAGGGCCGCTGGGCGCAGGCCCTGGACCTTCTCTTCGCCATGGCGGAAAGTGAGGCGCAAGTCGGGAGAAATCAGAGCTGGTGCTGTGGTTCTTGAAATCTATGTCGCACCACCCTTTAGAAACACCCTGAAATTAGGTTTCGCCTTTAGAAACTCCAACTAACCCTTGAAGCCACCACCCTTTAGGCCTTTAAGCCAAATTTGTTTCGCACCACCCTTTAAGTCTTTAGAAACCCTGAAATTATAGGTGTTCCCTGCAAATGCCAACCAACCATGGTTTCAACCATGGTTTCAAAGCAAACTCTGAGGGGAGAGCGGCTGGGATTTTCCATGCTTTCCGCTCCAGACCACGAACCTCTCAAAGGTCATTTGAGAGCCAGCACTGGGACACCACTCTTACATCAATATGGTCAACTAGATATCTATAGCCAAAATAACCCGGCCTTTGGCCTTTCGGCTAGTCACATCCGTCGCCTGTTGCTGAAAGAGATTCCCCTACCCCCCATCCACCACCCCCACCATTCATTAGAGTGTAAAGGCAATATAGAATTTGCAAGCATATATATATATATACATACATGTAAAACATTAGAACAAAGGCCCTTGTATCAGTGCAACACAAGCTCACAGCCTTCATGGGGCAGGGCATCAGTCGGACCAACTTCCCAGTTGCCAAGGGACGCCTGCCGTTTGGGTTTCAAATGGTCCCGACACGTTCCTAGAGCTGGGGGGTTCGTTTTAACCTAAACGAGCCATTCCCACCCTCTTTCTCTATGACCGGCAATAACGGGGTGCCCCCATGTTTTTGAGCCACAGAGCCTCATTTTGTTTGGCCAAGGTTAGCAGAAGCGGGGGCCAACCCAATTGAATTATCCTAGAATCACATGAGCGGGTTTTTGTCAAGTTGCGTGCACTTCCGGCTTTCTGTGGGCGAAATGTGGTGAGTGCCCGTGATGTGCCTTCAAAATTGATAATGGAGAGTGTGGCCAAATAGAAGTCTACGCAAATGTTCTGAGCCGCAGAAGGTAGAAGCCATCTACATCAGGTGGCCCCGAACGTGGTGAGCTTCAGCAGCTGCATCAGCGCTTGTGAGAAGGCCGGGGAGTGGCAGAGGGCATTGGACCTCCTGTGCCTCATGCCCACCCAGGAGGCGGGGTGTTGGGGACCTTTGCAGCCTAAAGGCTGAAGAGAGGGTAAGGGCAAGACGGCCCATGTAGGCCGGGCGGGGGGGGGTTGATGGGTGGGTCAGTGTCAAGGTCCCTCATGTTTATCTGTTTCGTTTTTGTTTGGGTGAGTCCAACTCATCATCGCTTGGGTCATGGGCGATTGGTGTCCTTCGGATGGGGTGTTGGGGGGGGGGGGCGCAAAATGAAAACAGTGTTTTTGAAGAGGTTGCACATGGGTTGCTGCAAGGAAGTCACAAGGAGGTTGACAATTTAGATACAAATCTAGCGCCAGCCCATTCGTAAAGGGCACGTGCTGTCGCGCAGGACGCACGAAATGGCCACGTGTTTTTTCATGACGTTCAGGTCGTTGGCACAACAGCAAGCCAGTCTGACCCCTGGCCGCACAAATGATACCGAAGCACCTCCCCGCCAAGGTGAGCCCCAACGCCTACAGCTTCAGCAGCGCCATCTCCGCGTGCCAAAAGTCTAGCGAGTGGCAACAGGCATGGTTGAGGATGGGGGGGGGGGCTCATGTGCTTTCTTAAATCGAATGGGAATGTTTGCACTTTCCTTAGTCGACACACGTGTATAAATGGATGACTGTACATTGGGCATATCCTATTGTATATTCGCATGTATGTATGTAATGTATGTATGTATGTAATGTACTGTGATGTGATGTACTGTGATGTTGTGTGATGTAATGTAATGTAATGTAATGTAATGTGATGTAATGTAATGCAATGTATGCATGTATGTATGTATGTAATGTAATGTAATGTATGTATGTAAATGTAATGTAATGTAATGTAATGTAATGTAATGTAATGTAATGTAATGTAATGTAATGTAATGTAATGTAATGTAATGTAATGTAATGTAATGTATGTAATGTAATGTACTAGTGTATGTATGTATGTATGTATGTATGTATGTATGTAATGTATGTATGTATGTATGTATGTATGTATGTATGTATGTATGTATGTATGTATGTATGTATGTATGTATGTATGTATGTATGTATGTATGTATATGTATGTATGTATGTATGTATGTATGTATGTATGTATGTATGTATGTATGTATGTATGTATGTATGTATGTATGTATGTATGTATGTATGTATGTATGTATGTATGTATGTATGTATGTATGTATGTATGTATGTATGTATGTATGTATGTATGTATGTATGTATGTATGTATGTATGTATGTATGTATGTATGTGTATGTGTATGTATGTATGTATGTATGTATGTATGTATGTATGTATGTATGTATATGTATGTATGTATGTATGTATGTATGTATGTATGTATGTATGTATGTATGTATGTATGTATGTATGTATGTATGTATGTATGTATGTATGTATGTATGTATGTATGTATGTATGTATGTATGTATGTATGTATGTATGTATGTATGTATGTATGTATGTATGTATGTATGTATGTATGTATGTATGTATGTATGTATGTATGTATGTATGTATGTATGTATGTATGTATGTATGTATGTATGTATGTATGTATGTATGTATGTATGTATGTATGTATGTATGTATGTATGTATGTATGTATGTATGTATGTATGTATGTATGTAATGTATGTATGTATGTATGTATGTATGTATGTATGTATGTATGTATGTATGTATGTATGTATGTATGTATGTATGTATGTATGTATGTATGTATGTAATGTAATGTAATGTAATGTAATGTAATGTAATGTGTATGTATGTATGTATGTATGTATGTATGTATGTATGTATGTATGTATGTATGTATGTATGTATGTATGTATGTATGTATGTAATGTATGTATGTATGTATGTGTATGTAATGTATGTATGTATGTATGTAATGTAATGTATGTAATGTAATGTAATGTAATGTAATGTATGTATGTATGTATGTATGTATGTATGTAATGTATGTATGTATGTATGTATGTATGTATGTATGTATGTATGTATGTATGTATGTATGTATGTATGTATGTATGTATGTATGTATGTATGTATGTATGTATGTATGTATGTATGTATGTATGTATGTATGTATGTATGTATGTATGTATGTATGTATGTATGTATGTATGTATGTATGTATGTATGTATGTATGTATGTATGTATGTAATGTATGTATGTATGTATGTATGTATGTATGTATGTATGTATGTATGTATGTATGTATGTATGTATGTAATGTATGTAATGTATGTATGTATGTAATGTATGTAGTGTAATGTAATGTAATGTATGTGTGTATGTATGTATGTATGTATGTATGTATGTGTATGTAATGTATGTATGTATGCAATGTAATGTAATGTAATGTAATGTAATGTAATTGTAATGTAATGTAATGTAATGTAATGTATGTATGTATGTATGTATGTATGTATGTATGAATGTATGTATGTAAATGTAATGTAATGTAATGTAATGTAATGTATGTATGTATGTCTGTACTGTATGTAATGTAATGTAGTGTAATGTAATGTATGTATGTAATGTAATGTAATGTAGGTATGTATGTATGTATGTATGTAGGTATGTATGCATGTATGTATGTATGTATGTATGTATGCAACTAAGCTATGCATGTAATGCAATGTAATGGCTTGTAGTGTAATGTAATGTAATGTAAGGTCAGGTAATGTTGTGTTATGTTCTGTATGTATGTATGTATGTTTTTCGTTCGTATCAATTTGGCGAGATGACTTGAATCACGGCAAGTGCCGACATATGCTTGCATCATGGGTTCGTCAGGTGTCAGGGCCTGCGCTTGCCGGAATTGCTGCATATCGTCCTGCTGGTTAAACCAGCAGGTACATGTCACTGTCAACATACATCTGTGCATTTCAATGTGTGTGTTCCAACAGGAACAATCGGGTTTCGTTGACGTGAGATTCGTGCTAGTTGCTCTGCAGGCTCTATAGTCGCTCGAAGGCTTTGGAATCTTAACTACGGTCACTCAGGGTTCAAGCTTTTAGGGGTTTCTGGGAAGCTCCTGGGCGCACGGTCTTCGGGCAACAGCGCCGTTTGGCAGTCAAATAAATTGGTTTTGGTTGCAAGGAGTGGGCCGCCCGCTCGGTTCCATGAAGTCTGGTGCAAGTTTGGGGGTCATGTTGTAATTGAGTGTATGACAGGTTTCGAGGGGAAGCCAAAGGGAACCTCAATTTGTTGGGTCCCACCAATTTGACACATACATTGGGTGTTTGTATTAAAATCAAAAGCATCGCAGGCTGTGGCAATCATCACTTATGCGCCTTTGGCAGGCGCTCGCCGTTTTCAGCGCCATGACCTCCTCACTGGCGCCAGATGTCTTCGCCTGCAGCGGGGCGATCAGCGCGTGCGAGCCGGATGGGCAATGGAAACAGGGCGCCTTGGCGGTGGCTAAACATGGGGGAGTATGGGTAGAGGATGATCCTCCGGGCCTTGAATCTCCGTCGGCTGTTCCTTTAAGGAACCCAGGCTGCTGCTGTAGGGGCGAGCCAGGAGATGCCCCGGGCAAAAAAAAGAGTAGAGGATGAGAATGCGGATTTGAGGTACTACACATTGACAGTTTTTGGTGTATTGTACGTACTCTCCCAGCAATTGGCATGGAGAGCCTGAATTGCAGCCACCCCCTTGAGAAACTGCGCTGGTTGCTCCCTGCCCGGTGGATTCCACCGGCTTTTATTCCACTAAAAAGGATTCTGTTGTCAACCAGGGTCAGTGAAGAACAGGGTTGTTGCTTGCACATGACTTGGCGTGTCTGCGGGCATTTGGAGATCGTCACCCACTCAGGCCATCGAACTCTTTCGGGGATCCTCACTTCCTGGACCGCATTAGTGGCAAAGAACAAGCTCGGACTTTGCTTGGCCAATCCACTCGATCGGAAGTGAGGGCCCAATGTGTCGTTTCCGGAGGTTTGGCTTTGCTGAGCTCTATGGGCCACTGGCACATCATTCCCAACATCGTTTGCCTCAGCGCGGCCATTAGTGCATGTGGCAGAGGGGAGGCGGCAGGGCGGCAGCGGGAGGGGGCTTCTGGCACATCCCGGTGCCAGCAGAGGTGCTAGGTCCTCCTTTGTTCTGCATACAGCTGGTGCTGCTTGATTTCGGAGCTGTGACCCAGACGGAATCGCCACATGCACACATTGCACACATACACACATAGAAGGGAATATAAACATGTAGATGCACTCAATCCGGGCAAGCACCTAGCAAGAGTGTTGCGCACTTACACACAGTATGCATATTCATGTGTTGTGGATACGCAAATTCACCGGGAGCTCTTGAGCTTCTTTTGGCTCTGGGTGAAACAACTGGCTGGATCGTGTTTCAAAAGTGGAGGATTTCCTCTATTTTTGACACCCCCGTTTCAATCAAACAAGGGGCTTATCATTTTTGAGCATTATTGGAGTGAATATGTGCGCGAAGGTTTGCTTGGCCCGGCAAAAAAGCCTAGATTGCGCCTTGCTTGTGTTGCGAGGCCCGTGACTGACAATGATGGTGCATATTGAATTTGGCAAACTGGGTGACTCTTTTGGTGAGCCCTGTTGAGATTGTCTACTTTCTGTTCATCAGTTACGTTGAGTAACCAGCTTGTTTGGTGCCATTCTGAGTTCTGATCAGACCAGCTTTGGTCTGATGAGACCAGTTGTGGTCAGTTCCGATCAGTTTGAATCAGACCATTTTGGTGTCCGTTTTGATTTGATCAGACCGGACCGAAATGCTCAGTCAGACCACCTGATCAGACCAAAACCAGTCTGCTCAGACCTTTGGCCTGATCAGACCTCTGGCCTGATCAACCAAACAAATGCTCTGATCAGACCAACTCTTGCATGTCTCATGTACTTGTTGCATGGCCAAGAAGGGCGAACATAGATAAGGCCAGGCTGGGCAGATGCTGTGTAGACATGTTGAGGCTTGGATCAATTGCAGACGAGGCCATGCTGGGCAAGTGATATGTTTGGCTTAGCTGGATCCAAGAGGTTTAAACGTAAAGTTGTGATAGGTCCTGCGCGAGTACCCAGTGTGCGAGTAGTGCGTGCGAGTGTGCGAGTGGAGTTTGCGAGTGTGCGGGTGGAACGGGCGAGCAGGCGGACGAGTCCAGTCGACGAGTGACTCGAAGACTCGCGCGCACGTTCGCTTGCGCAGAAATGAGGTAAAACAACAAGACCTTGCGAATACTACTTTCAGATGCGAACCAAAAGTAAAGGTCTAAATAAAAGACCTTATTTGTGTTCACGCCCTGTTTGGCAAGTGTGCCTAAGAAACCTGCTTACAACCTCTTAGTGTCAGCTGATGTTTACCGTTTTGGGGCGTTGCCAAAGCTCGTGCTCACGCACTCCTATTGCCTCAAGCAACGCACGCTTGTTGAAACAACAAACACTATAAACTATTTCGTCCTGTTTGGGACTGGGTATCCATTATGATATTTGCCTCTTCTATGGCAAGCTGTTGTGGCGATAAAGCTAGCTCGCCATCACGTAGGTCCTCTCATTACTTGGGAAGAATTCCTTCTTCAGCTTTCGACTTTTTGTAGCAAAAGTGCATCTATTTGGGAATTCCTTCTTCAGTTTTAGGTTTACTGGAAACAAGTGCAGTTCAACGTTGGAAGCCATCCTTCCTTTTGCTTAAAAATATGTTTGTTTTCCCTTGTTGGTTTTAAACGGAATTTGTCACTACTGGACATATTTTGAATTTTGCCAGGGGTCTTAACCAAATGGAAGCCATCTACTCCCCACATTGGCAGCCGCCATCCGCGGATCGGAGCCTCCGGTGCCGCTCGGCCGCGAGGCGTGGCAGGCGGCGATGGCTTTGTGGCGCGACCTGCCGCGGCGCTTTTTGCGGCCGGACGCGGTGTGCTTCAACAGCGCGGCCCGGAGGCGAAGTTTCTCCTACGGGGGGCCCTTCCCGAGAAACGCGGAGCCTGTTTTTGGACCTTGCCTTGCGAAAAAGAAGGAGGCTCCTTCCAAAATGGGGGGGGAGCACCAACCAGCCCCTCCATGTTTGTTTGTTTGTTTGTTTGTGTGTTTGTTTGTTTGTTTGTTTGTTTGTTTGTTTGTTTGTTTGTTTGTTTGTTTGTTTGTTTGTGTGTTTGTGTGTTTGTTTGTTTGTTTGTTTGTTTGGTTGGTTGGTTGGTTGGTTGGTTGTTTGGTTGTTTGGTTGTTTGTTTGTTTGTTTGTTTGTTTGTTTGTGTTTGTTTGTTTGTTTGTTTGTTTGTTTGTTTGTTTGTTTGTTTGTTTGTTTGTTTGTTTGTTTGTTTGCTTGCTTGCTTGCTTGCTTGCTTGCTTGCTTGCTTGCTTGCTTGCTTGCTTGCTTGCTTGCTTGCTTGCTTGCTTGCTTGCTTGCTTGCTTGCTTGCTTGCTTGCTTGCTTGCTTGCTTGCTTGCTTGCTTGCTTGCTTGCTTGCTTGCTTGCTTGCTTGCTTGCTTGCTTGCTTGCTTGCTTGCTTGCTTGCTTGCTTGCTTGCTTGCTTGCTTGCTTGCTTGCTTGCTTGCTTGCTTGCTTGCTTGCTTGCTTGCTTGCTTGCTTGCTTGTGTGTTTGTGTGTTTGTTTGTGTGTGTGTGTGCGCGTGTGGCTGTTTTGAGGGTATCCAGCTTCGTTTGGTCAAATCAGCACCTGCTGCTTACCTTCCGCCTGATGGACATGGCAGCCCAAACGCCATTATCTTGAGAGAATCTCCGTTTGAGGGACCCCTTAGGAGACTCCTTTGAACATGATGGCTTTTTGGTTCTTTTTGGTTTCCTTGCTCACGTTCAGGGAGCTGAGCTGGGCGCCTTCCCCCTTCAAACGCCAAGCTGCAAAGGGATTCAAACCTTTCACTTTTGGGTCAAACAAATAAAATAGGTACCCACAGCGGAACCCTGGAAAGGAAACAAGGACCGCGGTCCCCTGGTGGTATAATTTTGACTCACACCCATGTGGCTTTTCTGCAAGGGTCGGATCCGGCCAAAGCCGAGGCCATTTCCGCCTGCGAGAAGAGCGGGCGCTGGAGGGAGGCGCTGGATTTGCTGAGCCGCCACCCCAGGCCCAGCAGCGTCAGCTTCAATGCGGCGGTCAGCGCCTGTGAGAAGGACGTGGCTGCCACCCCTTCCCGTTTGCTGCAGAATATGTTTTTTTCAGGGAACCCCTTTTTGGTTGGTTTTGTTTTAAAGGAAAACCAACCGGACAACCAGAATTTGGGGGGGGTTCGCTTTGCCCCGGTTGGTTTGAAAGGTAACCTACCACTGCCGGCAATTGTAGATTTTTGAAGGATATTGGACAAGGATTCCAATGGCCGACATGTTTGTTACCCTCGTCCTGTACGCGGCAGACCGACATGGAATCAAACAAGACGCAGTTTGAGAAGAATCTTTCTTTTGGGACCCCTTTTCAGATTCCGTGGTACCTGCTGCGTGCTGTCAAACACCCCAACATGGAACGAACCCAGAAATTGGGGCTGGCAATGGTCAAAGGCGGATCATTTGTTTGTTGCCGATTGAATACATGGGAGTTTCTCAAAATCGCGTATCCCCTTTTTGTTTGGTTGTTTGAAGGGTCGGGCAATAGGAGGCGACCAAATACCCAAAGAAGGACCAAATACCCAAAGAAGGACCAAATACCCAAAGAAGGACCAAATCCCAAAAGAAGGACCAAATTCCAAAAGAAGGACCAAGTCCCACAAGAAGGGCCTTTTGTTATTTTGTGTTTTGTTTTTTTTGGGGGGGGGATCCTATGTCGAGGCTCGCCCACCCGCCCACCCAGTGATTTTCCCCGTTCTGCAGGAGGGCCTGTGGCAGCTGGGCTTCGCCTTGCTTGCGGCCATGGAGAAGTGCGAGCTGCAAGGGGACGCCATCACCTGGCGGTCTGGCCAAGCACGAGTGGGTTCTGCCTGGGGGTGGGGGTGGGGAGGTTGGGGGTTGGTGCCTGCGTTTTGGCAAAGCATCAGGTTCCCTGCCAGGAAGGTGGTTTGGATTAGGCTGGATTGCTTTGGATTGGTTTGCATTTGGATTTGAACCCCTGGCTTTTGTAGAAGGTTTATGGGCAAGCTTTTCTGGAACACGAGTTCCAGTTGGAGGAAAGCTGAAACCATGCGTGGGTTCCGCCGGAGGGACGGGGGGAGGGGGAGGGGGCCGGGGGTGGGGTGGGTGGGTAGTACCAGTTTTTGGTTTGCCAATTTGGTTCCCAAGAGAAGTGAACATCCAGTAGACCAACAGTCCCACTCGGCTCAGGAACAGCGTGATCAGTTGCTGCGAGAAGGGCAGTCGTTGGTCAGCAGCTTGGGCCCTGATCAACGAGATGCCGACGCGCCAGGCGCGGAGAACTGAAGGAAATAAATTGGCGCGTGTCGAAAGAGCTCCAACAGGAGCGAAGATGAAGCCACCGGTAAAAGAGGATGACTAATGTGGGAGCCCATTTGGTTGATTGCAGAACCTAGGGCCATTGAATGGGCCGGAGCAAACAAACCAGGAACATCAACGATCGACTTGAAGGATGCCCCTTTGGCGACTGAGAGTGGGCGTGCTCCTGTGCCTTTGGGCAAGTTCCATTGGGCGGCAATGGGGCATTCTCCACCTGATATCATCGGATGCAAATCCTCCCCCTCCTCCTCCCTGTTTCACCAAAATACCGACTTTGTGTTGGAAAATTAGGGAGGCGCTGGATCCTCTGCTTTGCCAGGTGCTTCCGGACGTGATCAGTCTCAACAGCGCCTTTTTGGCCTGCGCTCAGTGCGGCCAGTGGCTCCTGACGCTCCACATCCTGCAGCTCATGGCCTGGCAAGGCTGCGTAGACGGCCGTGTGGAGAAACCCCCCGCTGCAGAAAACGCGCGCGAAGCCCTGTGCCCGGCTCCTGGCGCGTCCAGGGATCATGAACTCACTCGCCCAAGGCCGACCTTTCGACCTTTTGGGTTTCCCGGTTGGTCCGTATTAATCAAGGTCCCAAAAGGCTAACCTTCTATCTTTGTGTCCTTTGGGCAGCTGAGTCAACATTCATGAAGTGGACAGGAGGCAGCCTTTCGATGATGATAACATACTCCCACGGGAATTCTGCAGCCTCCATTGATACGTTATTTGTTGCTCGAAATATTTCTGCCCGTGACAACCTGTTCTAAAATAAATGTACGATTCAACAAAAAATGCTCGAGTTGTCAGCAATCATGCGCCCGTCGGAACCCATTCCCTGTACCATGTTTGAGATTTTCGCTTGTTTGCACTTTTTTGCGCCGATTTCGCTCGTTTTGCACTTTTTTGCGCTCGTTTCGTTGAAGACTCTTCCCAAACTCGCGCCTGTGAGGGGATATGAAACTAGAGAACTGGATTTCTGCTCGAATCCGACAGAAATGCTCGAAAGCAATTGGGGAGGAACAAAAAGCTACAACGTGTCATTTTGTGTATCGAACCAGGGGGGAGGCATAAATTTTGCTACGATGGAGGCTCCAGGTGAGTATTGCCACGCTTATCCTTGCGGGGTGCGTGCTGCAAGAGCAGCCTTCTCTGGAAGTGTCCATTTGTCCATCTTTTATTTTTCTAATATAAAAAAGGGAGAAGAGCAGCAACAAAACGACAGTAGGAGCTCGTCCGGCGCTTCGACTTCCGGCACTTCCGGCGGGTAGCGGCGGTGGTAGTGGGGGAGCCACCAGAGAGCTTCAAGGCGGGTTGCAGCTCCCCCAACCCCATGGAAACCTGGGCGACAGGTTGAGCCAGCAGTCAACTGATGTATTGACCTTCCAGGTAAACGTGGCTAAACCAACTGTCACAGCCAGCAAAATGGAACCCTCGGGGGTTTGGAAAGATCATCCAATGAAAGGAAGGGCCCCTCCAGGTACCCTCATCGATGCTATGTCAAACGGGCATTTGTCCATCCAGGCCAGCCCCACTTCGGTGCCATGTTGCTGGGGTGGAGGGCGCTTTGTTCCCCATCCGCATCGAAATCTGATGTGGGAGGCCAAGGTGAGGAGCGCGGTGCTGGCGGAGAAGCAGGCGGGGGAGTTCTGACCCGCCGGCCCACTCTTCTTTGGCTTAGCTCCCTTGATGGGCATAGAACCCACAAATCCATCCTTTGCAGAGGAAGCTCATGTTTGGAATCCCTTGTCTGAGTTCCATGTTGTTTTGCACGAGCTAATTACCTTCCCATCCAGTAACATGAAACCTGACTGGAGGGTCTCGCAAGATAAGTTTCCTCTAAAAGGGGCCCTTTGGTCGGGTCCATGTTAGTGGCGGGAGTAGGCTCCCTTGGTTTCGAATTCCTTGACTTCAGGCGTGCGATCGCAAGGGTCACACTTGTGGTCAAACGGCACTCGGCCCTCCCCCCCACCACCACTTCTCACTTCAATCGAAGCAGCCTTTCCCTCGTCCCCCAACTGTATCAATCACAGGCATCATCAGAAAATGGATCATTTGGATCATTCCCTGAAACATGATGCATGTTGCCAACATCCAGGTGAGTTAACCTATGTCGAAACATGGGGGTATGCCATTTTAAATATTAAGGATATGGAGCTAAACCCCCCTGGTGGCAAATCCGAATAAAAGTCATTTTCCGAACAAAGGCGCAGCGTCTGAGAGATTGATTTCTTCGGCCCGCGCCCTCGCAGGAGAAGTTGGATGCAGAGTGGAACGCGCAAGAGGCCGCTCTGCCAGCAGCCGCAGGGTTTCTCCGATCAAGCTGGGGCGTTTGGGATTGGTCATGCTTGGTCAAGCAGCTTCCAGGCATCAACGGCATGCAGACATGCAAACTGTTCTTACAACATCTAAAGGTCCTCCTCCTTCTCCCTCCCCTTCCTCTCCTTCCCCCTCCTTCCTCTCCTTCTCCCCCCTTTCTCTCCTTCCCCCTCCTTCCCCTCCTTCCTCCCTTCCTCTCCTTCCCCCTCCTGCACCTCCTTCCTCCCCTCTCCTCCTTCCCCTCCTTCCTCTCCTTCCTCCCCTTCCTCTCCTTCCCCTCCTTCCTCTCCTTCCTCTCCTTCCTCTCCTTCCCCCTCCTTCCCCTCCTTCCTTCCCTTCCTCTCCTTCCCCCTCCTTCCTCTCCTTCTCCCCCCTTCCTCTCCTTCCTCCCCTTCCTCTCCTTCTTCCCTTCTCCCCCCTTCCTCTCCTTCCTCCCCTTCCTCTCTTTCCCCCTCCTTCCCCTCTTTCCTCCCCTTCCTCTCCTTTCTCCCCTTCCTCCCCTTCCCTCCCCCATCTTTGACCCGCCCCCTTCTCCTGCTCTGAGGCGTGCGGGTGGGGAAGGGTTTGCCAGGTGCTGAGGCAGCAGCAGAAGGCGCTGAGGGAAAAGCAGAAGGCCATGGAGGCTGTTCTGCGGGGGAGGGGAGAATGTTGACGGAGTGTCTCTGTTTAGGAGGGGCTTTCCAATTCAATTCAACTGGGAACAGGTGCCCTTTTGCCGATTGGGGGGGGGGTCACTGGGGGGTCTGGGAAACATTGGGAAACTGCGGATTGATTGGGGTGCGATGTCTTGGGTACGATCAACATTAGGCCTAGGTTCCCTGGTTGAAAAATGGATGGGAGGCCATAAACCTTTCCTATCCCATTGCCCGGCACCAAAGCCTGCTGCTGTGCGGGGATGACGCCGAGCACCCTGTGCACAGCCAGTTTTTCTGAGGGAATCGTTGGACACACCAAGCGAGATGTTTTCACAACTGTGTCATTTATATGACCAATATTAAACAACCCTGCTGCGCACTATCACAAACTGAATCGCGATCAGCCACATGCCAAACCTTACCCCGGTACCGCTCAGGAAGCCCAGAAGCGGATGGCGGAGGCCGCGGCGTCGGCCGCGGCTTCAGCCACGGCTGCTGCGCAGGCGGGGAGAAGATCGGCGAGTGAGTTGGGGAAGGCAGTCCAGCAAAAACAGGGCGCCCGATTCCCCGTTTTCTGTGGCAAGGGGGGGACGTGGGCAATGCAGGGCCTGGTCCTGGAGATTCTCGAACCTGCACGGGGCCAAAACAGTCGCATTTCCTTTCAGCCATCAAAGGATAGAGTAGGGGCGTCGTTGGCCACCCCGGGAGAGGCCGGGAGAATGTGAACCCCAGTTCGCTGCGGATCTGCATTCGCGCCTGATCACCAGCCGCCCAAGAACCATGGAGTTGCGAAGACCTTTTCGGGCATGTGTTTGGCCGTTTGGTGTCGTATGTTGCCTATTCATTGACATGAAAAGAGCCCCGTGGAACAAATAATGAATATCCCATGATGCTATCTTAGTCCTCATGTGGGGAGTGAGTGACTCTTAGCCAGCAAAAGAACATGCACCTACAATACCTTGGGAGTGGAAGCATCTAAACGCCTGATAAAGTGAGAGAGTACCCTGCTACTAGGCAACCTGTCAGGCGGCAGAAGCACCTACTGAAGCAAAAGAGGAGGGAAAAGACGAGGCAGGTCAGTTACAATTGCAAGGCTTGCCGCAAAGCTTCCATAAGTGTGCCTGTGACGTTCTTTGTGCTCTCATCTATACAATGTTGGTCGCTTCAACAGACAGCATGAAGACAGATTTTGCCGGAAGGTTTGATTTGAGGGAATTGCTTGCGACTTGCACAGACTCTTGGCTTTGTCTCTTGCTGTTAGGGTCAGGTCTTCGAACCATGGCGGCAACTGGCGCGTGTTTCAGCCAGGAGATGAAAGAAGTTAAGGAGGAAGGTGCTAAAGAGGAGGGCGTCCAGGAGGAGATCAAGGACGCAAGGGACGCAAGTATGCGGGAGGGTATGTTGGATTCGGCAGGTTGGGCTCACAAAGGTATCTCTAGACTTGGTGGCTCCCAGCCATGCCCTTAGCTTTTGAGACTTTTAGTGTTTAGTGGGATTTCCATTTGACCCACTAAAAGTTAAACTTTTAGCAGGGGATCTGAGAGCCCAGTACATGAGCACCTATCCCAACGGATTGGCTTTCTGCAACGTTGCCCGGCTTTTTTCCTCGCAGGTGATGTTGCGCACCTGCGAAATAGCCCATATTGCTTCACCGTGCAAAGAAAGGACGCCAAAAGGGGATGGGCATGTGTTTGCTCTAGAGATTCTATTTGGCACCCAGTCATTTGGCAGGCTTTTGAGCGGAAATGCAAAACTCCTGTCGGCTTTCCTCCAAGCCACACGGGTGTTCCCACAACACAGGCACAGTTTAAAGAAACCACACGGAGAGCCTCCATTTCAACAAGTACATCATGGGCCGAAGGCCCATCATATTTTGACCTGAGGAGGAGCCGGAGCCGGAGCAGCAACTGCCTGTGGCAGAGCTGGATGAGGAGGAGACGTTTCTTGTTGAAGAATTGTGGTTTTGTTGTTGCATAGCATTTGGCACATGCACACAGGTATATATGTGCTTGCATGTGCCTGTAGATATGTGCACCCACTTCTTTGCATCCACATGGTTTCTCTCCTTTGCAAGTTGTGTGTGTGTTGGCCACATCACATCTTTGAGATTTGCTGCTGATATATTTACCTCACAAAAAAGAAGCTGAAAACGACGAGCTTGTTTTTTGTTGGGTACAACCTGAGGATTCCACCTGCAAGTTGGACCCCGGGGCGAGAACTGGGTCTATCAATTGTTTTTTTAGTTGGCACCATTGTTCAAAGGAACACCAAGAGGAAAACTTCATCACTGTGGAGGGTGTCCTGAGACCTGCCCCGCAGACCCAACTGCCAGGAGCAGAAGCTTTGGTTCCTGCCGCGGCCGGTGACCGACATGGTGCCCACGGTCTTCAACAGCCCCCCGGCTGCACTCAATCGGATCTGGATGAAGGGGGGTGAACCGCTGGAAGGATTTTCCGGACTTTGGCTTGAGGGGAGCCCACATGCAGCCCTGTGGATTTTTTAGACTGAGCGTCTGATTGTTTTTCGGGTTCTTGGGAACAAAGCCCTGCCAGGTTTCCCGTTTCTCACGGCCCCAAGAAAGGGTTGCTGTTACAAAGCAAATCAGGGAACCCGCGTGTGTTTTCTTTTCTCACACCGCGCGCTTTTGGATTTTGCTGGCGAAAGCTGCGTTTGGTGGGGACACGAGTCATAGGCTGATTAACCAAGAAACTGGCTCATACCAGGGCTTCATGTTTTCGGAGTGTCTCAACATCGGGGAACTAGGAGGACAAGCCAACCAGAAGCCCCCCTAAACCCGCCCAAAACAAACCCCATCACCACGCGCACCCTAAATCATTCCACCTTGAACCCACCCTGAACCCACCCAAACCCACCCCCAAACCGCCCTAAACCCTTGGATGCATTTTGTTGAACACCTGCAAATAGACTTAAACCCAGGGGTTCCCTTTTTGGGGTACATGACCCACAGCTGGGTTTAAGTCATTGTGGGGGTAGTCTAAGAAGTGGAACCCTGCTTCGATGTGTATCCACTCGACGGCGAGGCACCTTCATGGACTTCTCGCTGCCCACGGACGAGGAGGACTTTGCGGAGATCCGCTACGAGTGGGCCACGGAGTTGGTCAGCAAGGAGTACATGAGGCCGGGCTTCGGTCGAAAAGGAGTCGATGCGGGGAACTGGGGAGGAGATTTGAATATGAGATTTGAGGTTTTAAGGTGTAGGACATGAATCTGTGAGGTTTCAAATGTTTACAACAAATGGACATATGAGGTAGGTTTGAAGTTTTGACAGCCAAATATGTGTTTTTCTCGGTTGGGGGCAAAAGCTGAGAAGGTTCATATCCCTGCGTAAATAATGGAAGGAGGGCTGGCAATACTGCCAAGAACATGGAACCGCCAATTGAGGATGGACCCCCCCCTGTGGAGTTCCATGCTACTTTGCAAGTGGTGTTCAACATGAAGCTTGAATCCTCATGCCAGATGATAGTGACTAGTGCTTTCCCTTCCTGTAGGGCTGTCCCGCATGTTGCAGATGAGTGCGGATTAGGGCCCCCCTCCCATGAGCAATTTACTCCCCCTTCCCCACCTACCCCGAATTCAGGGGCCTTTCTTCAAGTGACAGCAGCCCCCGAACGGGCACCCGAAAGCCCCCAAATTTATTATTCTTCCGCACGCAAAGTGCCGTTGCCTACTCGGCCCCCTTGCTTGAGACATGTTATTATAGCCCTTTCGTCGGCTTTCCCAGAAGGAAAACCAAGAAGGGGCTTGCGGATTTAGCAAGGGAGCTGATTTGCCAGCCCCAGTTCTTTTTTTGTTGGCTTTGTTTGTCCTTTTGGCTTCTGGGCTTTGTGACCTTTTGTTGCTTTTTCTTTTGGCCGATGGGCACGCCCGGCCCTTTGTCCAGCGTTGCTTGAAGCTGCACTGTGCAATGCGGCGCGGTGTTTTTTGGGGTTAAGTATTTGTCTCCGGGGCTCATATATGTGTGTAGAATTTCATGTCTCAAAACAAATCGCCCCAAAGGCGCTGTGAATGGACAAAACCAGTTGTCACAGGGTTTCGTCCATCCCTGGTAGCTTTTTAATAATTTAGGTTTCCCCAGAAAAGCAACACCCGTTGGCCAATGTTGCTTTGGATGGGGTGCTAGGGGAAATATGGGGGCCCCCTGTCCCCTTTCTTGCTGGTTTCTTCAACTCTTCGTTTGTGGTTTTCTTCCAGTGCCAATTTCGGCGTGTCGCAGGTCCTGGATGCAGGCCAAGAAGATCACCACGCGCGTGGAGGACATCAATTGCTCGGAGACCTTCACAAACCGCGCGGGGGGCCCGGGAAGGCAAAACGCGGCAATGGATGTGGTGAGACTCGGTGAGACTCGTGGTGGATGTGTCGAAATGGGCAAGCTGCACATGTGTTGGTTTATGCTTGTGTGTGTTTGGTTTGCCTTATGATTAGGCTGCCGCCCTCGCCAATGCTGGTTGGGTTTCTTGGGCAGGGTGATGTTGACCGGGAGGAACCCTGTGGCGGCGTTTGGTCCAAGGGATGCACCTGAAGCGGTATACATGTTACCCAGGGGTACATGTTGTAGCCGAGCAAGTGGGGCCCAGGTCTTCGAGTGGCAGCGCCTTCAAAACGAGTGGCAGGTGAAGCAAAAGGAGGGGCGGGAATGGGGTGGTGGATTTCCACCAGAAGCTTTGTCGTAGGGGTGTGAGCCTACGGGTGCCAGGTTCCCTATATGTCACTTTCTGGCGGGTTTTATAAACTTTAAACGTCACGCCAAAAAGGGACAGCTAGGCTTTATCATTAAATAGATAAAGTAAACCCGCTGTTTGCCACCAGATAAGGGCAAGATCCTCTTTGATCATGTCCTTACACACACAAGCAACTAGTTACAGGATGGGTTTTACAGCTGGCATTCCCCTTACAGTTTGAGGACCCAGCTGGCGGGGGTTGTAGATCCGGAAGAGTCTCAACCCGCCACTGCCAGCGACCTGAAGATTGTTCATTCCCCAGATGTTGCGTTCTCGTTACGAACTCGGCCAATGATTGTCGTCGTTTGTTTTTTTGCTTTGGGGGGGTGTTGGCTCGTTTGCTTGCAACGTGTAGGGTCTCCTCCGAGCAAAACGCGGGCACCTGTGAGCAGGACTTCAAGTCGGACCCCGTGAAGCAGCAGGCTGCGGAGGTTCGGGCAGACAAGGAGCGGCCATCCTCGGAGTGCATGTGTGGCACCAATTTGGGCCAAGCCCTTTGAGTACGTTTAATCCATGGTTTAAGCAACCTCCTCTTAACGAAACGCATTCCCTTTAAAAAAAGGGGGGGTGATTTCAAGACAAGATGCCCAATGGCTGAGACACTTGCAGGTCTGGTTTTAACTGCTGAAACCGATGCGCTGTTCAGTTTCTTTTGCAAGGCCCACGGCCACCCAGTTTGCTCGGCCCACGCCACAATGCGCGCGTTCGCGGCGTCTATGGCCCATACGAGCGCCGGCACGTTCCGTCACTGGGTCCGTTCGGGCGCATGCTGCAGATCAAGGATCACATCATGAACCCTCCGTCGAAAAAGGCCATGTCCGTCATTCCAACCATCATGGGAAGTGGGCTGGGGGCTTCCCCAAAAGAAGGAAGGTGGCAGTCTTTGAAACCCTCCTGTCAGCTTCCATGATTTTTGGGAGGGTCAGTGCCCGAAAAAACATGCCACAATGCTTTGCCCCAGGAGAAGAGATACGAAGAGAAGCAGGAGAAGCAGCAACCTGAAGCAGAGGTGCGGAGTAGCCCTCCCGTTTCCACAACTGTTCCTTGGAGTTATTTTTTTGATTGTTTTGGAGTGAGGGAGGGTTGTCGTTACATACCCGGACGGTCGGCCATTTGCTTGCCATTTGTCCAGTGCCAAGAAGTTAAGCACAGGCATGCCTTTCCAATTTCTGCTTGCTATGAGGGGCCCTACAGAGCCAATGGACTCCGCCTCTTGTTTACTGGTTGGACAGATGCAAGCAACGTTTGACGGCTGACACAGAGGCTTGCAACAAAGTCAGAGTGCGCTATGTAGCGCATAGCCGTTTCCTTTTTTCATTTCCCGTAACGGGGTCAACAATATATATATATATATACATATATATATATATATATAAACATATATAGGCAATTTACGTCTTTTCCTGGCTCCGAGTCTTCTCTCCACATTGTCATGTTGCAGAAAGTTTGGATGTGCTGGAGGAGTTGGACAAGGAACATGTTACAGATTCTAATCGGAGCTCGGTGTTTTGCACGTTGCACGCTGCAGCGCTTCCAACATGGTTGCTTTCAATTGCGTAGTTGTTGTTTGACAGGTCATGTCGGACCAATGTGGGTTGCTCACTTTAACCATCCAGTGGTTGTCGTTGTTTCCGTAAGTCAGCTACCACAAAACTTGGTGGCTCCAGCCATCCCCTTAGCTCTTTAGCCTTTTAGTGTTTAGTGGGGATTTGCATTTACCCCACTAAAAGTTAAACTTTGAGCGGGGATTTGAGGACAGCCCACAAAAAGCGTCCTTTTGCCCACGGTCAGTGGAGTTTTTTGTTGGATCGAGGCGGCGGAGGACGAGCTTGATGGCTTTGTGCCGCTGGACATCTACAGCGTGAAGGATGTGGCGGACATCGGTGAAGGAGACACCAATTTGGCTTTGCACTGCCTGTACCCTGTGTGGTTAAGACTCTCAAAATAGCCAGGAATAAAAACCAAATGCCAAGAGCCCCTGTCTCTAGGAACGCCTCGAAGGGAAGGTAGAAAGAGCATGCGCCACAGGGAGCATTTGTGCCATAGGAGTCCTGGCAGATGCTTTCGGTCTATGTTTGCCGTCGGGCCCTTCGGCAAGTGCTTCGTGTGGATGTTCTGTGAGTGGCGTGCAATCTATGGTTTGTTATTTGCCCTCTGCGTGATGGTTGCCGGGTTTTGCATTCTCGGGTCTCGCAGGCCGTTTGACACGTCAACGAAGCAGTTGTGGAGTCCTGATAGTCAGCATGAGCTAAGTTAAGGCTAAGTTCAATAGATTGAGGACCCCGTTTCGAGGGGTTGGATGTAGCTGAGTCCGGCCTTTCAGCCCATTTCAGCCCTAGGAACCCAGCACTACCGTAACCCATTTGCGGGGGGGGGGGGAGGGATTTGCAGGCCGGGGGGAGGGGGGGCATCCTTTTTGCTTTGGTGGGGAACCCGTCATAGCCTTTGTTTTGGGGGCAACCCTCCCAAGAGCTATGGGTCCTGGCAGGAGAGCCTCTTTTCGCGAACTTCTCGTTAGAGGAGTGGGGTACGGGCGGGTCCGCGATGCCCAGAGGCTTTCTTCGCGCAAAACGAGCGCGAAGAAAGCCCAGTGACATCTAGTATGTCACAGCAACCTCGTCACGTTTGCCATGATCTAGCGGTTTGCTCACAGTTCCCCGCAAATGTTCAGCCCATTCAAAACCCGAAGCCTGGCAATCGAAAGGGAGAAATCAAGAGTTGGCTCCAGGCCCTTGCCGAGCCACTCCCTTGGGCATTTGTTTCCAACAAGACCCCAGCAAGGAAACGGTTCAACCGGCGGAACGAGTCGAACCTAGAAAAACCTTGGAGAGTACTCGTCGGGGTTCAACTTCTGAGGCATTGGGCTAATCGGAAACAAACACCCACAAAAACTGAGCGCTATTTCAGTTGGGTTGTCCACTGAGATCCTAACAAAGGCCTCCCACTCAGTTGGTCAAAGCCAATCTTTCAGTTTCGTCCACCCTATGGAAGCGCAAAAGTGTTCGAGCACGGTTGATTCTTAGGCCTAATGCGGTTCATCACAATCTCCAGCAACTTCTGCGCACCGTTCGCATAATGTTTGCGTGTGCCGGGTGTTGCTGACTTCCCCGCCTGCAAATCTTCAATAATTATACGGAACAAACACAAGAGCTTTTGCAAGGACACGCCTCCTACTCTCAAGATGATGGTTTCGCACAGGTCACTCTGGGTGGTCCCTTTGGCGTCCCTTCCAACCAACCCGGAAGAAGGCACCCTGAAACCGCCCCACCCCCCCCACAGATGGTTGTGGGGTAACCAAGCCAGAAAAGAGCTGTCTGAAAAGCCACCCCCAAGAGAGTTTTGAAGCTCTACACTGAGTCATTCTTGCGGGTTTTCCAGGACTGGGCTCTGCTGAACCTCCGCTTCGAGCTGACCATCCTGATGCAGGGCTTCCGACAGGCGAGACGTGCGCTTAAAAAGCCCCACGAGCTTCGGACTGACCAAACCTCCACGAGGGGCACTTCCATTTGCAAAAGATTGGTTTTTCCCCTATTCGGTTTGAAGGGAATGTATTTCTGGGAATATGTCAGGTAAGTGGCTAGCCTGGTTATAACCCACGAACAAATATCCATGGCTATTGCGGGTTATAACCATTCTGTAACCAGAATCTGAACACAAAAACGTGAGGTTGGGCCAGGGTATGTGTCAAAATCAGGGGTCCCCAAAGCTGGTGGCGGTTTCCGTTTCATCCACGCCGGAAAAGGGGACACTCAAGAAGCACACTCTCAAATGGAATTGGAGGAGGGGCTAGCCCTTGGATTTTCACGCAGGGAGCCAGGTACCTCTCAGATCGGAGTTGCAGAGAAGATGAAGTACCCTTGTGCAAGCGTTTTATGTAGGCATTATGATGAGCTTAAATTGTCTTCCCTTAAGGCGCATGCCGCATATGTCAAACCAGAGCATTCCTACTTCGAATGGCTCGCACAGGTGGCTCGATGTGTAAGTGGCTCGGTGTTCCGCGTTCTTCATCCAGCTCAAGCATGTTCGATCGCCCAACCCTCTTTGGAGGGCTGGCACTGTTCGAGAAAATCGAGGTGGCGAAGAACGCCGCTCAGGCTTTCTTCTACTACAAGTAGTCCATTCGGGGTTTGGATGGCCAATCCCGCTTTCTGGATGATTTGTGTGTGTGTGTGCGAACTGTCCATTGGAAATCATTCACTTAGAAGGGATCAAGGGTATCTTATATGAACTGTTCGCTTTTCCCTGCAGACTAGGCGCCGGGGCTTTTTGAAGCAACCTGACAGACGCCAAGCTTCTGCCTTGCCGGGCAGCCCAAATCACAGCCAGGGCGTCGGAACACAGCCAAATATGATCTTTGGACTTTGGCTTCACGCCCCTGTCTCCGGACCTTGATCCTTGGGTGGGAAATAGACAGCTTTGTGTTTGGACAATCCGAGCTTCAGAGTGTTCGTTACGCTGGCAGGATGTTGCTGACCCTGAGAGGCCTGGTGCAGATGGGGAGGGCGGTGCGCGGACGGATCCGATAAGAGAGCTGATGACCCCTCCAACACACCGATGGAAGGTGTGCTGGGTTGCCAGTTCAGGGATGCTAGACCCAGAAGGAAATTACGATACAGATATGCATTTTTTGTTTAACGAGGTTGCCGCCTACATCTATGCCCAATTGATTCTAGAAGCACCCTTTCCGGTGCGGAATGCGATTTGCAAGAATTCCGTATTACCCTCCCAAAAGAAACATAGAACCAGTTTGAAGGTCCCACAAATACAAGCTTCCTGTTCAAGCTTCGTGGTAAGAGGGCTGGCTGTTGATTCGTGTATATCCTGACCACACATGTCAGGCCCGGCATCCACGAGTCGCACCTGGGCTTCTACTACAACAAGTACTTCAGAAAGCCTTTGAACATCAAGTTCTTCGGTGTGAGCACCGCCGTGGAGCTTTGCGCCATTTGGTTGAGACGCAGGAAGGGTGGTCATCCCCTGGTTTCAGCCAAGACCGTTTCTGGGTTGCCCCGTACCTGGCTCCATGCCCATCCAAAAAATTGGCATTCACGGAAACAAGGGGTGAGACAATTTTTTGCAGGGTCATGGAACATGGCAGCGTGGCAGAAGGTCGTCAAAGCGTGGGAAACTCGGCCTTTGAAGTCGGTACTCCCTTTTGCCTTGCTCCATCCCCCGTCCAAAAGATGACGTTTTGCCAATCTCGCAGTGAGGGCTGAGCTCGGGCTGGCTTTGGATTCCCGAGCTTCAGGCCCACCATAGACCAGGTGATTGCGCTGAAAATCCCAGAGGTTCTCTGGACGATTTGCTCATTGATCAGTTCGTCGCTTGGGTGGGTGTGAGGTGGCTTTCACGTCTTGCGCGCCTCAGGCGCTGGCCAAAGACGTCGTCACCATCCAGGACACTCCATGGGCCCATCTCCAGGGACAGGCAGAACCCCCCCTGGTGCGGTTTCGGAGCTGTTCTGAGACTCCCTAATTAGGGAGGCTGGGGGGCTTGTTTTCGGCCCCTGCCGAATCGCCGAAGGACGAAGCTGAGGCCAAGAGCCTCAGCAAATTAGAACGAGCCCTGTTAAACCGAGCTCAGCCACGAAAGTTCCTGACTTGGGGTCCATATTCTGTGTGTTTGAATGAAAGTTTTCTGCCCACCCCCTTTACATGTCCCCTGAGTACACATGTTGAAATCGCCCAAAGTCCCAGGAGAACGGCGTGCTGGCACCGAGTCTGTCCGAAGAGCAGCTCGCAAACCTGGCGCCGTGGCCGAAATTGAGAAATGCAGGGGGCGAAATCGATACACAATGTTACGCAGTAATTCTCTTGAAGTCTGAATGTCCTACAACCTCATTCTAATGAATCTACTGGCTTAGGCCTAGGCCCTCTATAAATCTTGTTTTTTGCCTCTTGCCAGAAGCCACTGTCTGCCCTGGAGCAGCCCTGACCTTCCTTTCGGGCGAGCCGCGTGTTGGAGCGGTGCTATGCTATTTGACAAACCTGAGCGTCCTTCGTCGCCTAACTTTCTGCCCTGAGCCCAAACGTAATGCAAACCCAGGGGGTCGTCACTAACATATGGCAAACGTGCACTTGTTCATGCCTCGAGCGTTCTTCCCAAAACCCTCCAAGATGGTCGGTCGCTGAAAGGAGCGCGCAGAAATCCAAGTGCAAAGCGAGCGCACATATCCGCAAAACGAGCGAACATATCCGCAGACGAGCGATAAAAAAACACGCAGCAATTGCTTGTCTTCCCCGGATGGATGAAGGGGATTTGATCGAGCGTTTTTTTTGGGGGTCGAGCTTCTTTTTCTTTGTGGGGGGGGGTCGAGCAGAAATCGGTAATTCGAGCTGTAATTGTCTCGTACCTAATAACAAACAGGCTCGTTGGGTGCTTCAGGAATCTTTGCCTACAGCCAGGAATCCGCGCAGCTGTCCTGTGGCCTTCTCTCTCACGACCATGCCCTCGCAAGTTGTTCTTGGAATCATAGGCCCTGGCAGTGGTCGGTCCGTTTGGACGTGTAGCGACACTTGTTCGCGACAAACAGTGTGCAATGTTCGACAAACATGTGTGAGGCAGGGGGAAAGATCATAGGACACAACTTGAGTTGCTAGCTTGCACACAGGAGTGCGCGAAATCAAGCACACACACACACACCATCTATGCTCCCAAACATTTGGTTTCCCGTGAGCTCGAAGAAGTTGTTCCCTTTGAGCGCCTTTCAGAAACTTCAAGGGGTCGAAGCAATAGCTCGAAAACCTGCGCGTCGGCGGTCGGTACTTAGAGGGGCAGGGTGCCTAGTAAGTAGCGTGTACGATGTGTAAGCCTGTTGGAAAAAACACTCAGGAGACTTATAACTATGGTAAGTGAGATACAACCGTGGCTTTTCACTCGCTAAGTACAATGCCCCTTTAAGTACTCCTCGCTTGTATCCATGGTTAGTATCCACCTGGTGCAAGGCCGCTGTCAGTATCCATTGGAGACCCCTCGGTGCTGAGGACATGTTGGTCCGCTTGACGGAGGCAGCCCGTCGGGAGCGGCACCGGCGCATCGAGGCGGGAGACGCCCCTCGCCAGGGTGCGCGTGGCTGGGGCAGGAGTGTGCACTTGACGAGGTCGAAGGGAAAAGGGAGGAAACCAAAGGCACAAAGGGAGGGAGGACACCAATGGGAGGGAGGATGCCAGGCGAGGACAAGGGACGTGCCAGGGCTCAGGAGGAAACAAAAGGGAAGAGAAAACTGGGACTTTTTGGGATCGCAGGTTCCAACGGGCCGATCTTTCTTTGATCCTCTTTTTGAGGTTTGGAAGGGGGGAGCAAGACTAGGTCCCCCAGTAGTGCTCTTTTACCCCTTTTTGGGGGAGGGATCCTGTACTAAAATAGACTACAGGAAAAAAGGTACCCTTATTCTAACCTGTCTACTGGAGGACCTAGAAGATAAACCTTGGTTTGGGGGTGACCTTGTTTAAGCCACGGCCAACACGATTGGAGTGCTTAAGGGCCCCAGCCCTCTCGTGATTTCCCTTGGTCATGTTTTTTTTCCCGATTCATTTTGTTTCAGAAGGTCACATATTTTGTAAGGTTAAACAGTCAATTTGGCTAGAAACAGATAGCACTGGTTTAGATTGATTTTTATTCCATTTACCAGTGCCATCTTTTTTTAAAGGACACCTTGAAAGCAAATCCTGTTTTGACGCATGGAGGCTTGCCCGAAAAGGCGTGGGTGAAACTACCGGCTTGGTTGGCAGGGCATGGCCAGGTCATCCATACCAGGGCTGCTAATCTTGTTACACGATCCTTGAAGAAAAACAGGTTCAGCTTCCGACAGCTCCGATGTCCTGTTTGGATTTCTCGGTCGTTTTGCCCTGAAACGAGCGTCCCCATGGCCACGGAAGCTTTAGATGGTTCCCCTGGCTTTTTCGGTTCCCTGGCCATCTCAGGAAAGCTCCAGACTGAAGTTCACTGTGCAGCAGGGCCAGTCGCTGCTCGGACGCAGAGAGCTCTCCGCTCGCCCGGTTCGTGGTTTTTTTTTGCCGTTTCGCAACCGAGGACACCCTGCCTGCCATATTTGGTCAGCAGATATTATGGTGTTCACGTACCTGGTTGCTTCTCACTAATCGCGGGAAGGCAACCTCTGAGCAGCATGTGTTCAACCGCGTGAGGCATCAATCATTGGACCGGTTGCATTTAGCTCTAGGTCTCACTCCCGGGGGCAATTATTTTTCGAGGAGACCGTTTTAGTTGGTGGTTTGGGGATTCGAACCCTTGGTTCTTGTAAAGGGCAAATGAGAGAGCCCCTAGCCGAACCACCAATCCATACCACCAATCAGAGGAAGGCCGGGCAAATCCAAAGTTTGGTCTCACTCTAAAGGGAGGCCGGGCAAACACAAAGTTTGGTCTCACTCCCTGAGGTAAAGGGAGGCCGGGCAAATACAAAGGTTTTTTTTTTTTGGTTTGGCCAAAATCCAGAGAAGTGAGCGGCTTGCGCTACAAAGTTACGGGTGGCCTCTCTCGCTAGGCCGTGGCCGAAAGCCACGCCCAAGCCATGGTCGTCTTGGTCGCCCGCGCAGCCTGTGGCGCCCCGGCCAATGAGATCAAGTGAGACTGGACGGGGGGTGGGGGGTCTTTGGTTGGTCCCTTTGTGGCCAAGAAGAAAACCGAACTCCATCTTGGGGGTCCCCATCCCCAATCTTGTCACAGATTTAATTGCGCCCGCCCTCAATTCGGGGCGAAGCGTCTAAGTGGTCTTTATTTGGGCGAGACAAAACATATTCAAAGAAACAACTAAAACGTTGAATCGAAAGGGTCGCCCTCAAATCACTCCGAGGCATTGCCATTTGTGTGGACGGAGTAGGGCATGCAAGTGCAAGCTGCAAGCGCTGCTCACTTGTTTCAATCGGAGTGCCGATGGCGCCGTATGGAGTGTTTCTGCTGGTCTTGGTTAGACTGTTGAGAAAAACAGACTTCTTGGTAGAGGCCAGGAAGCCTCCTTCCTCCTATTCTTGCAGCTGAGTTCTTTGTTTGATGTGCAAAGTCGGATTCGGCGTTCCTTCTGATGCGTTGGTACCTTCTGGCCAACCAGCAAAGGAACTAAAGAGACTCCAGAAAAGTCGGATTGCTTGCGCACCTGGATTCCCAACATTTTTTTTATGAGGGACCGGGAAGACAACGCCTCAAATCCCTAAAGAGTTCACTGGTTATACAGAAGGCCCGAACTTTTCTGACCAGTCCAATCAGGAAGTGAGAAGCAGAGCTGACAAATGGCTTTGTCTCAACATAGGTGGGCCTAGTGTCCCTTGAAAACCATCCAACAAGGTAGCCTCGAAAAGAAGACACCTGTATTTGTTTGTTAACGGCTGTTGTGTTGCTCTTGCTTTTCAACTGTCCAAATCATGTGTGCAAAATAAGCGCAGTATCCCCAACAGCCCCCCCTTTTGAACCCTCCCTGAAATCATTCCGCAAGTGCGCTGTCCTTTTTTCTTTTGGCGAGGCTGCGCGGCCAGGCTTCCAACCCAGGCCGGGCACAGGCCGGGCCAAAATGACAACGTCCAACCTGGGGCCTTTGATGCGATGGGTTGGTCAACATGTGGGTGGTATATCTGAATGTCTGCAGGGCGACTAAGATGCGTAGCCTGCTGGAGGTGCCTGGCTTTGATGCGTAACGATGGTTCCGTGGGTTTCATGATTGGTTTTGGGAGGGTGCATTAGAGGCGTCTTTGGGGTGGTCGTAGCCGCTGTTGAGCCAATAAACCAACCATTGAAATGAGCCATGAGTTCTTGATGGATGTGTTCTGCTGGGGGAATTGCAGTTACTTTACCACTCTGTAACGGGCATCACTCAAAATCACTGACTGGTGATTCTGACTTTCTAAAGAAGGCAAATTACGTTTCGGGCAGCTGCGGGTCACGGTGACAATCGCTTTTACCAGCGGATTTGGATGCCCCCCTTCATTAAACTGGTGCTTTTGGGAATGGTTCTTGTCAGGTGACCAAGTTCCATCCGTCTTTAAGGGGGCAGGGTACTTAGTTGTTAGTACGCCTGGTAGTAACCCGAGGACTTATAACCGTGGCATATGGTTATATACCATGCCCCTTTGAGCAGTGTGCCTGTTTCTCTTGAGGTGAAAGGTTGGCACCCCTTCGGCTCAGCGGAAAGCGGAACTCGGGTCCAATGATCAACGTGGTGTTTGTTTGTTCTCCTGGGAGAACTGTTCTTCTTGTGAAACAATACATGTTGTTTTTACGAAGCCATGAAGACACGTAAAGCAGTACATATGACGGCGCTTCCTTTTTGGGGGGATAGATTTTCACTTCTAGGCTGGATGCCAAATGCGGCCAGCTTTCATGAGCCTTCCGCCCGTGGCACGGGACGAGCCTATGGCCAGGCACGGGCGCGCGGCCGATCCGGGCGCAGGGCGGCTTCGGGTTCTCGGGCTGGGGAGGCTTTCCGGGAGCCTTCCAGGGCGCCTCGCATCGATGGATGGGCGGGCGTTTCTCCAAGCGGGTTTTATAGGGATCCATTGGTTTGACAGTCCCCCCGGTTCTTCGTGGGTTCAAGGGAAACCAACCAAAAAGCACCTGGCTTTTTTGTTGCTCCCCAAAAGGAGCCTATTCCACAATCCCAACAGGGGCGAACACGCCGAATAGGTCTATTGGGTCCCGAACCACCATTTGGGGGCCTCTTGACAAAGTGGGGATTTTTGGGTCGGCGAACAGATCATGTTCCGTGTACCCCAGAGGGCCAAGTTGCGAGGAAAGCCAAAATAAATCGGCTATTTGCCCAAGTTCAAGAATCAAAATAGGCCAAAATTGGTCCTTTTGATTTGACTTCAACTTTTCCAACGCCCTGTTCGGAGAAACCAATGAGGGAAGGGGAAGCACCTGTACACGCGCTTTCTATCCACATTCCGCCAGTTCGATCCAAGTCGTATTTAATGAAATGGATGGAGTACCCCACCGCAAAGGCGAGTGGCCTTTGGGCTGCAGAGATGTTGTATGCGTTGGCCAAGGGTCTTGTATATGTTCCATTGCTCACGTGAATAGACTATCTTGAGACGCTGTCCAGGTTTAGTTGTATACCGAATGGCAGCGTTGGCCATCAACTTTCGCAAATCTGTCATGCCAAAGTTGCTGTACGGTGATTGCGTGCCAAGAGCAGGCTTTTTGCAAGTCGAACATGTGTTGGCCTCCAGTGTTCCAACCGGCCAGACAGCAGAATATGTCGCAAGGGTCATGGGTGAGGCCAACTCTTGGAATGGCCTCAAATCGGTCCCTACCCAGTGGCAGAGTGGCGGTACTAGCCACGAGCCTCAAGGGACACTTCGCCGTTGGATTGCCAGGGCTAAGCCACATTGCACTGGAAAACTGCCTTTTGGGTGTCATCTTCTCAGAAAGAATCAGATCATTTGGCCTTCCCCACTTGGCTGCAGTGCTTTCATCCTTATGCCAGGTGGTGGCTGTTGTCCTTGTTGCAGTGGTGCCGCAATACGGATGACGCATGCTCACCAGGCATCCCCTCACTTTGAACGATCCGGTTTACAGTTTCACTGGCCCCATGCTGGGTATTGAGCAGCAAAGTGCCTTGCGTGATTTGAAGACGCAAAGGGGAGAACGAGAGAGAGAGAGAGAGATAGAGAGCGAGAGTGAGGGCCGGGAGTGAAAGAGCTTGCGGCCAAGGTAGTTGGTGAGCTGCGACGAAGCGAGTTTCACCCTGACGTTATGCAACAAGTGAAAAGCGACCAGAGTAGGAATACCATGGAATACCTGTTTAGTTGAAAAGGAGGCACTGCTTGGCTGATGTTTGTTGCCGAACGCAACAGGGGCGATATATGGGCGATACCTAGACCACCCGGCGGCTTTTGTTTTTGCCGAAATGGTCCGGCGGCAGGAATTCCCGCCGATTTCTTGGAGAATCGCTGCCAGCAAAAAAAACAGCCGCCAAAACAACAAGAAACGCCGCCACCTTTGGAAAAACGCCGCCAGCGTTGGAGAAACGCCGCCAGCCAAAGTGAAACCCTCGTGTGACCCTAGACAAACCTGCGGCTCGGGACTCTTGTTTTACACACGCCATTGTTCATCGAGTTTTGCCGGACTGTTTGCGAAGACGAAGGTGCCTTCTAAGCACAGCTTTCGTCTTCAAGAAGACCCTCTGCAACACACGCCTGCCTGCTGTCCGAACGGATACCCTTCGAGAGACTCTGCTGACTCGACCAACCAGGTCCTCACAGCCGTCGCAAGCGTAAATCACAGGGGATAAGATGGCTGGAGCTGGTGTTCGCAAAGCGCATTTTAACGACCAAGCCAAATGATGTACAGCGTGGAATTTTGGTTTGTACCCAAAGCCTGTCATACCGAGATTGTGCACTTGGTCAGCCAAGCTGGAATAACCTCGCAGCATGACCATGAAACGAAGGTACATTGCTTGAGCGCACCGCCGCCGTAACCAGAGGCCATGATCATAGCACATACCGGAAAGGTCCAGCGCAGTGGCCACTGTTGTGCGCGCAGTCTTCAGAAAACGGACAATGGCTGGCTGCAAGTGCGGATGTTGGCTGATGCCAGTAAAGAACAAAAGCCACTTCAATAGAAGGATTGCGTCTGATGCTTTGCAGTTTGTCCACGCGTACATGGAAGCCTTTTTTGCATTCATAAAAGTCGGCGTGAAGGACCGCAGTGCAGCACAATAACCGTTGGCCAAGCAAAACAGTTTGAAATTGCCATGGGCTCGCTGCAATCGGGCCGGCAAGTTGCAAAGATCGCCAGGGGCATCGAAAAACTCTAGCCGGCAAAGGGCCACAGTAAGGCTCCCCGTTATTTCCCGGGCTAACCCGAGTTTGAAGCAATGCATGAAATCGAATGTGTACAGTTGCTCCGGCTTGCTGTCGTCGTATGGGACTCTTGAAAATGGTGGTGGTTCTTCCCAGGGACGATCTTGAAAAAGTGTAGAGGCCCATGAAGGCTCATCTTCGGCAAGGTCAAACCTGTGGGCAGGGCCCCCTGCAAAACAGTGTTGGCAGCACAATTTGTCATATTTTTTGCCCATGTTGGCATACGATCGGGTAAAGGTGGCGAAAAATTCCCGCTGTTGTTTGAGGTCGCCTTTACAGCCCACCAAAGCCACAAAATACTGTTTCTCCTCAACCTGGATGCCGTTGGAGAATAAACTGTCAAGATCGTTGGCCAAGATGTCCAACACATTCTGAATGATTTCAGGATGCGGCTTGTAAAGCACGGCAGCTGCCCCCATGAGAGGGTGCCTGGTCAGGTAGGAGTGCCCCTTCAGATTTGTGTCAACCTTGAAGGCGGAACTGGCCTCAGGAGTTTCCACAACTGGTTGCTGACAGCTCGGTACTGCATCTTCAGGAAACTGTGTGAGAAACTCTTGGCAATCACACTCGTTCACGCATTGCTCCTTGAGGCCAATCGGGCATTCCCAACTGAGCACCATGAATCCTGCACGCTTGAGTCCGCGACCCTCGTCCCCAAATACACACACTGGCACAGTTCGTTTCAAAGCTTCCTCACTTTGGCGCTGAAACACTTTGTGGGACGCATGATGCCACCGATACATGCTCCAAAAGACACCAAGTTGTGATTCCAGGT